CAAGAACCTAACTCTGTTAAATTTTCGTTGTATTCATTGCAAGTTCTGTTACTTGTTTTAATAGAAGCCAGTTGCGTCTCCCGTTTCGGGATAAGGCGGCCCGTGTACCAGTGCTGCCTGTGGAGCCGTCCGTGTGTGTGTGCCTGTCCCGCAGAGCCACACTGCAGGAGGAGACCCAGCTGTCAGCCGCGCTGCAGTCCAAGCTGCGCGCCGAGCGCACGGCCGCCGCCGAGGCCGGCATGGCCGTGGCCCGTCTGCGGGCCGAGCTGGCTGCCGCCGAGCGCCGCCTGGCCGAGCGCACCTCGCTGTGCGACCGTCTGTCGCAGCAGCTGCGGCTGGTAGCCACCGAGCGCCTGCTGCCGGCCCGGCAACAGCGCCGCGAGCTGGAGAACGCCTGCTCGCGCATGGGCGGCGCCCTGTTCGGAGAAGAGTACCAGCTGCCCGTCCAGGGGCTGGCCGAGTCCTCAGATGAGGAGGAGGATGCTGAGGAACTCGAGGACACTGAGAGGACGGAGGACAGTGGGGATACGCGCCCGGTCCCACGGCAGACCGCTGCCGGGGACGGGGCTCCGTCAGAGAATGTCTCGGCGATATTAGAGACGGAGCGGCGCGACGCTACGATAGACACTGGCGTGGAATCTGCTGACCGGCCGGCGACTGTAGCCGAGCCGCGTAAACCGCCCCTGGCCCCAGCCACGGCCGTAGCCCAGCCTGTCGTGTGCTCAGAGACTGCTGTGGCTCAGATTACACCCACAGTCACTATGGTGAAGCCGATATTCCCGGTGTTAAACATTGAACAGTCGCCAGAATCCGACTCTGTGCCGATCAGACCCAAACGATCACGTGCTCAGAAATCCGCAAAGAAAACTCCCCAGTCTCCGGTCAAGAAAACGCCCCAGTCTCCGGTCAGGAAGGCGCCCCCGTCTCCTGCCAAGAAGACGCCCCAATCTCCGGTCAGAAAGACGCCCCCGTCTCCTGCCAAGAAAACGCCGCAATCCCTGACCAAAACAATCACCCACTCTCCAATCAAGACGCCCGATTCTCCAGCCAAGAAGAATCCCCCGTCCCCCGCGAGGAACACTCGCTCATCCGCGGCCAAAAAGCCGCAGCCGGGTTCTCCGTCCTCGCCGGCATCCAGTCGACGTGGTCGGTCGCGGAGCAGAGTGTGGCGGCGCAGCCCCCCGCCGCCACCGGAGCCGCCTCACGGGCTCCACTCGGTGGTGCAGCGGCCGGAGCGGCGGCCCACGGACGCCGACCGACCAGAGGAGCTGGGGCGCCGCAGCCGGCGGCCGGAGCGGTTCGCCGGGCCGCTGACGGGCGCGCCGGCCGCCGAGCCGCCGCCGCCGCCCCCGGCGCAGACGGTGCCGCCGACGGACGTCAGTGGCCTGCAGTGGCCGCCCGTGCTGGCCGAGTTCAGCGCGCTGCTCCGCGAGACGGCCAGCGACGACGTGACGCCGCGCGCCGCGGCCCGCTACAGGCCCTACGAGTCGCCGCTGCAGCCGCCTGCCCCAGCCAGCATCGGGTGAGTGGGCTGACATAATAAAGGAATGGTTTGAGGGAGTGGCGTTTTTGGCGTCTATTTGAGGCGTCTGTCTAAACTGGCGTCTGTTGAGGAAGCAATGTTTTTGAACGTATTCCCCTCTTGTTGTAATCCCTCTTGCTTCCCCTCTTGTTGTAATCAGCCCTAAATGAACCATACACACTGTTCTGTAAGTGGAGAGAAACTTGTTTATGGTGGGTAGGAGCAATTTTCGCTTCTATCGTTGGCGTATGTGTAAGGCATGTTTACCGCGTTTGCTTTCTCGCTAGAGCGTGTGCTGACTGTTTTCCCTGTGTAGGACTGCGACGCTGTGCTACGGTGCGTGTCTGTGTTCACGGGCCGTCATCAGTGCGTGTCGGTGCGTGTGACCGGTGACCGTGCGTACCCGCGCTGCCCGGCGGCTGCCGTTCTCTTCCCCCAGACGACTGAACCCGCACCTGGTGGTCTGCAAACACGACCTGCTGGGGCGCTGTAACGCCCGCCGCTGCCCCTACCAGCACCTGGGCTCGGAGCGCGAGTGGCGGCACCAGACATCGGCCGGGTACTGCTCACTGTCCGGCGGACCGGGACGACGCGGCGCACCGCCGGCGGAACGGCCCGAGAGGGCACCTCGGCGGGGGAGGGGGAGGGCGGGGGAGGGGTGCGCCCGAGCGGGACTGACGCGGGGAGGTAGGATGGTATAATAGCTGGGTCCGACCCAATCAAAGGGTTTAGTAGAGAATGCGGGCTTCGGGTCTAATGGGTTTGTTTTGATACTTATCGAACCAGATGGGACATTATTTTCACGCCCTCCCGGGCAGTCACCTCCCTCAGGTACAGGGACAGTGAGGGCAGTGCCGGGCGGATGTATCTGTGCGGGGCGGGCGGTGAGTGCCGGACGGTGGGGTACAATCGCTGTGGGTATCAGTGCCGGGCGCGGGGCGGGCTGACGGGCGGGCGGCGGTCGCCGTGGCTGGCCTGTTACAGAGCTGACTCGCCGGTCAGCGGACGGGTCGGCCGGGTGCCCCGTCAGCGCCTGCTGTCAGCGCTGGCCGTCAGCGCGAGTTGTCAGCGCGGGCTGTGAGGTCGGCCACTGGACTCTGGACGCGACGCGGCTCGGTCTGCCGCGACCGGGACTCCTCGGAGGCCGGACTCCGCGCCGACCCACGCAAGGCGACATAGTGGTCACTGCCTACACGCGCACTGGTTGTGGGAGCCTTTGCCGACAAAATATTAACATGGACGACGGTTTTCTTTTACTTGAGCTAAGGATGCTCCACATGTTAATCTTTGAACCGGAATTCGAACCGAAAGGGGCAGTTAACTTCACTCATATTTTACTGGGGCATGCATGCTTAGCTTAGCTAGGCACTGGTGTCATGTTTCGGATCATTTAAAAGTACATTTTGCGATATTTGACTTATTTTAATTAGGGGAAAATGAAAGGAAAATATTTTATAAGGGCAATCATGTATCGCTCGTCGCTAAATCTCGACCGCCTTAATCCTTCCCGTGCGCATCAACTGCGTGTCTTGAATTACGCCGAGGACCGGAACGTTAAATCTTGTAACTTTCTACGTAGTGCTTCTTTTTAGTTTTCGGTTTAGCAACTGTCGACTTCTATAACCACTAAATTAATTTCGATATGTTCACATCTCAAGTTTTTTGAGTTGTTAACTGTGTGTATCTTCGTGTTAATGCATGTTGTGTGTCTTTCATCACTCTGTCGCTGATACACTGATTGTATCATACATCTCACCCCTTCATTTGTTCACTGCCCTGTCCTGTGGCGGCGGTATAGACACCCTCCACCCGCTGTGGTACGCTCGCGGTGACACCGTGACCTGTCGGTGACCTGTGCCGCCGTTTACAGGCCCTCCTACCCGCACGGCTCGACACGTCACCACCACGAGCACAGGTAAGGTATGGCGGCTGGCTCAGTGCGTGTGTGTTCAGGCGGTAGAGCGTGAGAGAGTGATGGTGTAGCCGGGAGACCTGTGACGTCATCGGACCAACTCCGAGACCGGCCGGACGCCACGGATGAACGACTGAGCGAGGAAGTCACAAAGGGTCGTCATCCGAAACGGAGGCGTCTCGTCAGCACCGGCCCAGATTCTCCGCGGTGACGAAGCGCGGCGTACCGTCAGCGCTCCCGACCGGCTGTGGCTAGTGACGTCACGGAAGGACGTGGCCGGCGGCGGTGGATAAACTATTGACGTCACTGGCACAGAGGACCAATCGCCGGCCTACATGCCGCGGGCAATTACCGTCACAAATCGAGCAGCTGGTAATGCGTGGCTGCGACGGCTGAACCGTCCGCGTCAAACGCCTCCAGCCCAAAGGGTAAAATACGAGCTTTGCTGCTGCGTCGGCCAGTCGTTCTGCGGTGGCGTCATTTGCTCAGTGTCGGCTGGTGCTCAGGGAAACGCGCCGGGGCGCTCGTTCAAGCCAAAACCTCGCGGCGCCGCGGGGCTCGCAAATGTGACATGGGTGCCTTCGTGCCAGTGTGCTGGCGCCGTGTTGTGCGTTTGAAGATGTGAACCATTGTCGCTGCTTATCCTAGGACTGAGTGTTATTGAATGGTGTTTGTTCCAGAGCCGCTCAGTTTTGTTGTATTTCCAAATAACCATATGACGTCAACGTTTCAAAAAATGAGAATATATTCAATGTATGAAAAATTCTTCTTTTTGTTGTCTATCTGGCTCAGATGCTCATGAAAGATACGTGATTTTAATGCTTCAGATGGGATTGAAAATGACAAAATCGACCGAAATTGAGCGGCGATGAGTCAAATTGTTCTAAGAAAAATCCAATTTTAACTCTTATCGCGGTTATGCAGTACGGATTTGCTCACGTCACTTATGAGTCGTTCCTTCTTAGCTTTCACCTTTTTGTATACACTTTTCACTGTTCAACCACGTTTTGCTTTTGTTACTGCACAATCTTACAATAAGTTTGCCTTGTTCAGTTATGAAACATCTCTCCAACTCATGCTTCAATTACCATCATCCTTTCATCCACCGACCACCTGTCGTCCTGGCACACACCAGTCATAGCGCTGAGCATTCCCTCGATGCCACACCATCTACAGCGTCTCGGTCGGATTGGACTGAGCCGTGATCAGGTGACCTATACTCTGGATCGTCTCGGGTGTTTGAACCACGTCGGCTTCCTGTCAATTGTGACGCCCTGCTCCTTAGAGCTGACTGATCGGTGTATCCCGTTAGGTGAGCCTGGTGTGACCTTTTCTGAATGTTGCGTCAGAAAGCATTCTCCGCTCATGAGGTCAGTTCATTGTCTGAGTGAGAGAACAATGCTGTGATAAAAGACAAATACAGCCAAGAAAAGTGTTGCTGTCTTTTCATGGTTCGGAGAGCAAGAGAAGTGGCTGCGAACGCGAGGCGTCAACTGCAGTTATAGCGACGATAAAACTGCCAACCTTCGCGTTTACTTCGAAAACCCACAGCACACGAGACACTGCTGACGATGACTGATATATATTTACACAATACGAATAACCATTAACTCCGCACCAGACAGGTATATCTGTATGTATAAGTCCGCGGCCGCGGCGGATCGGACCGCGGCTCCGCTCTACTCGTGGAATGGCTGGCGGACGCCGGTGGAGAGGGAACTGACACCTAGAGCTCGGAGCGCACGCGGCAAATGATCGAGGGGAGCTGGTGGGGGCGGACCGCGCCGCGCCACTGATTGCAGCGGTGTGGGATGGCCGGCCGAGGTACCGCCGGGCTTTGCGCTGACCCAAGCCGCAGCAGCCCGGCTAGACGTAGACGTCCTTACTTGGATTTAGATGATTTTCAATTTGGCCAATTACACTACCAAATGCAAACCATTATGGATTCTGTCTATTCCGGGCGGCTGCTGCTAGATCCCGTTACACAGCGCTCTGGCGGATGACTCGGAAACAATGTATAAATAAAATGCCGGTCAGTCACAACTACACTCGGGCAGGGACAATTATTATGATCGCTTACAAAACGGGCTACCTCGGCAGCCACCGACGCGGCGAGTGGTCACTGTGAGCCGGGGCTAGCATCAGCTCAGCGCCACGGGGCACTTCGGGGCGAGGCGAGTCCCGTAATTACCCTTCTCGAATCCCTCGACATAAACGATAAAATGCAAAACCTGCAGGCTCTGTACCGGCGCCTAGTAAACACATACATTAGCCGCTTCTGATTGAATAACCGAGCATTGAGGGGAGAGCTTACACTTGAAATAACACAGAAACCAGGTTCCAAACAGCTCGAGCTATTCACAACGTCTTTAAGTCACAACTCACTGTCTGGTCAACCAACTGATGATACACGCTAATATCCGGCCAATACCGCCTGGCTGTGTGCGCTACGGTCGCCCTCGCCACTCCCACCGCTATGTCACGAAGTACGCTGGCGCCTGACACAGGACAGAGGCGAAACACCTAGATCGCAGACGACAGAGAGAGGGGGAGAGAGTGTGGGAGCTGAGAGGAACACAGAGAGAGGAGCGGAGAGAGACTAACTGTGACAGACAGAGGATACAGGAGGGCAGTACCAGTAGCTACTCGGCTCGCACGCAGTACGAACACGTCTCCAGCTAGTTCACTGCACACACACACACATACAGACACTGCAGCTACGCGCCGGCGGACGCGGCCCGCGGCGGCACGCGCTGGGTCCGCGGGACAGGCCTGGCACCCGCCGGCCACTGCCCACCACAGGCAGCGGCCGCGGGGCGGCGCACCGCCCGCCGCACCTACACTAGCCGGGTGAGCGCCTTTCGGCTTATTATTGTTACACCGACCACCAGTCAAAGCCGGGTGAGAAGCGGCGTGTGAGGCCTGCTGTGTCCTGTGATCGGGCCGCGCCTGGCTCGGGCGGGGTGACACCGCTGAGAGCGCCGGCTCCGGACCGCACGGCGGCCGGGTCGGTCGGCTCCAGCGGTGGACAATCAGCACGGCCGGCAGCTCCGCCGCTCCCCGTCACCGGCAGCTACAATACCGTGCTCGGGCTGCGGGCGGCCTTCCTCTCCAGCTCACTCGCCGGCGTGGCGCGAGCCGAGGCCGAGCGGCCGGCCGCCGCCGCCGCTGCCGCTCCCACCACCGGGGAGGGCGCGTAGGAGCGGGACTGGCCGAACCCACCGCCGCCGCCACGGGAGGGCAGCGGGTCAAACGGGTCGTGCGCCGCCCGTCCGCCGCCGTCACCGCCCAGCGTCAGCCGGGAGAACTCCATGGTAGACGACTGGGTGACGAAGCCCGAATCTCGGCCATCAGAGCCCGCAAACGGGTCTGACGAACCGAACGGATCACCGCCCGAGAAGGGGTCGCTCCCGGCGAACGGGTCTGCGCCGGCGCCGGTCGGCGACGCGAACGGGTCCGAGTCCGGGTCGACGGAGGCGAACGGGTCGCCGCGGTCGGTCTCGGACGCGGCGAACGGATCCGCGCCGGCGAACGGGTCATGCGCCGAGAACGGGTCGGCGACGGTCGGCGGCCGCGCCGACTCGGTCGACGGGGAAGCCCACACGTCGTCAGCGGTGGCCGCGCCGCCGCTGGTGAACTGAAACGGCGCCAGAGGCGGTCCGTCAGACAGGTGGGGTGATCGGGGGGGGGGGGGAGGGTACACAAGGGCAGGGGCGATACAGGCTTGTTACTAATATCAACCAAGATTCATCTCAACAAATTAGCCCAGACAGTGGTTCAGGGGAACATTCACTGCTTTGCATTTCAACCTTAGCTGACACACCGTAAGTGAAGATATCGACGACCAATGTGACGAAAAGACAATTGGTCCACAGTTGTCAATGACTAATGAGTCACCATAACGAAGTAAGAACCAGACTACGCAAGGAATAACATTTCGGAATAAAGTTAGCTGTTGTGGGTGAAACACAGTTCAGTCATCATGATCAAAGATGGAATTGTGTGCCATTTGAACGCAGGACTGCAACTTCAGCATGCCTTAAATATCAAAGGAAAGTAATTCCGACAGAGCAACAATAGCAGTTCGTACATGACGATGGTACGAAAAGCTACTATGTTCAACATTTACATGCGTTCAGCGTACAAACCACAAAAATATAAACGACAAAAAGTGGTGCTACTTGCTTCGACGCCAAAGGTGATGTCGAGGGTCAAAATGAAACGCTAACGCTTTTACTACAAATTAATAACGAGGATAAACGGATACACACCAACCGTAAGTTGATACCAATCATCACTTTTTGGGATGCTGGAAGAGAGGTCGTATACATTGCTGCGGCTCGCAGGATGTATAACGTCCTTGGGGCAGGTCAAAGTGCGATTCATACCAAAGAAAAACGCGACACAATCAAGAGACAGTGCTTTCTTTCATCAGTCTGGTCTATGTGCGATGTCCGGGCTGTTACGGGCTAACTGGCGCATGCTCACAAAACACATCCATTGACAAAACGGTAGGCTGACGTCGGTGAGTTCCATACCTACAGCGACAGACAATGTCGCCTCCTAGGGCGTGAGAAGCACGTCACTGCAACGACCGGCCGGCGGGGTTAGTCGCGCGCGGCAACTCTCTCTCAGATCGGTCAGAGCTCCATACGAGACAGCACAGGGGCCGGCACCACACTCATACGAACAATATGTTAGCTTGGATAGCTGTGGGTTAGCAGCAGGTTTACCCTCACCACTATTGTGCTAGCAGGGTCTGAGACATATCACAGCTACATGAATGTTTAAAGGGCACAAGACAGAATGATGACACAATCAGAAACATTCTGGTATTCCTCAACCTTCCATTTCAGTTATCGGGGGATTACAGATGATACAACAGAGTACCTAGCTCAGTGAAAGCGATGGATCAAGTTCGCACAGTGTAACTATAAGTGAGGGATCCCGGGTATGACAGTCCAGTTATCAGCAAATAATTACACTGCTGACAATCCAGTTCTAGGCGAGGGATTTCAGTTCTGACAGTCCAGCAATAACGGAGGGATTCCAGTTCCGACAATCCAGTTACAAGCGAGGGATTTCAGTTTTGACAGTCTAGTTACAGACGAGAGACCCCAGTTCTGACAGTAGCCCTCCTGACCCCCCCCCCCCCGCTGTCCCGGTGTCTGTACCCACGGCGACAGGGCGCCGGCTCGCGGCAGTCTCACCTGATCGAAGTTGGCAAAGTCAGCGAACCCGACGCCGCCGGAGCCACCCGTCGCCGGCGTCGCCGACTGCTCCTGCTGCTTGGCCGCGAACGACGGCGGCGGCGGCCGGGCAGGAACGTTTTTGGGCGGTGCCGGGCGCGGGGGAGGCACCTGGGTGTGAACAGACACATATCGTCAGACATTCGCCACTGTTTGAGGGTCACGCGAGAAAGTAACGTGCAGTGCATACATGATGGCATGCCCGCAAACTAGACCAGCATACAGAAACACCGTGTCATCACATATTTGGCAGTTCATTATGCCAAACGAAAAGCCGTCAGTATGATAAATAAAACACCTAAGCTGGCAGAGTACCATCATCCAACGAATAACGAATAAGCGTAAAAGGAAATTCCGTTTTCATTAAGTTTAGCGTTACACGTTGCAGCATTGCATCCTGCTACCGTGTTGGTTATACGTTCAGCTCGCGTCACGATATTAAATTTACAATATCATGAGTTGTATCATGAATACATCTTCCATGCCCCAAATAATAACGTACAGTGTACACCACTATCATCCCTCACCTTTCCAGCCGGTTTGGGCGGCAGGTCGGGTGTGACAGACGGCGGTCGCGCCGGCGCCGCCGAGGGAGCCGCGAAGGGCTCAGCGCCGAACGGATCGGCGTGCGCGGGCGACGGCTCGGCGGCCGGAGCAGCGGCGGCCGGCGCGTCCCAGCCGCCAAACGGGTCCGAGGCGCCCCAGGCGGCCCCGCCGCCGCCGCCGCCGCCACCTCCGCCCCCGCTGGTAGGTCGGAACGGGTCGTTGAAGCCGTTCGTGGCGAAAGAGGGCGCCGCAGGACGTGGCGGCGGCTGCGGCAGATATAGGGTAAGGTTAGTGTGAGAGCAAGGAAGACGACGAGGAATGCAATAAACCAGAACCACAGTGGACACAGCTGCAAGGTAGCAAGTGCCTTACATGCAAGCATTTCAGCAATGTTCGCTTTGCACTAAGAGTGAACTAAAAACTTCACAAAAAAATGCGTATGGAACATAGACTACTTATTACTTAAAATCATGAATAAAACACAAACAACGTTCTGAGCCCACGAATACCTTCTCCCAGCAAGTCTGCCCCACTCCCAGATGTCGCTGCGGTCACCCGCCTCACCTGTGACTTCTGTTCGGGCTCCGGCTCCGGCTCGGGCTCCGGTTCCGGCTCCGGACTGAGCATGCTGCGGATCTCCGTGAACTGCGGGTCAGCGAACGACTGGTCGACCGGGTCCAGGGCCGAGTCCGGCACGCTGGTCACGTCTCCACTGCTGAGCGCCACCTCGCACTGCTCCAGCGCCTCTGACATCCTCCGCTGACATTCCTCCAGCTGAGTCACCTTCGTCTTGGCCTGCCGAGGGGAGTGGGAGGGTTAGTGGAGGATGGGGTGTTTGGTGTCGCAAGTGGTGCCGCAAGGAGGCTAGTGTGAAACACAGGACAATCAGTGGTGCGGAAAGTGAGGGACGTGAAGAGGCAATAATTCGAAAAGCACATGGTGAAAAAGAGGAGCGCAATAAAGACAAATTAAATGTCACATAGTCAATAAACTTAGGAGAGAAGAGGTCATTTAACATCCGGTACACGACGCTGCTTTTAGTCGTTGGCACTCAAAACACACTCGACGCGGCTTTTGGCACAGCTCTTCATGCACGACTATATCTATCACGTTACGACTATATTTATCACCCCCGTCTCTGCATAGCTGGCTGAGCTGGAGCGGCCGCTCCAGATGCCCCCCCCCCCCCCCCTCCTGACTCCTTACCTGGCTGAGCTGGAGCGCGGCGTCCTCCATGGTCCGTCCGACCGAGCCGCTCCTGACAGTACCTCCCCCCCCCCCCTCCTGACTCCTTACCTGGCTGAGCTGGAGCGCGGCGTCCTCCATGGTCCGTCCGACCGAGCCGCTCCTGACAGTACCTCCCCCCCCCCCCTCCTGACTCCATACCTGGCTGAGCTGGAGCGCGGCGTCCTCCATGGTCCGTCCGACCGAGCCGCTCCTGACAGTACCTCCCCCCCCTCCTGACTCCATACCTGGCTGAGCTGGAGCGCGGCGTCCTCCATGGTCCGTCCGAGCCGCTCCTGCCGCTCGGTGGTCTCCTTCACCTGGCGCTCCAGGCTGAGCTCCTCGTCCCGCAGCTCGGTCAGCTCGCGCCGCTTGTCGGCCAGCTCCTGCTCCTGAGCCACCAGCGACTCCTCCTGGTCCTTGACCTGCGACTGCAGACGGTCCACCTGGGAAGGGCGAGGGGGGGGGGAGTGCGGGACCAGTCAATGGAAAACACGGACATGGCCTCGATGCAGAGCATTAAGGCATCTTCACTTCTTGCTAAACGGCTAAAAAGATTTTAAGTTGGTTTCTGACAGCGAGATCGAAAACGCCATCCTTAAAAAAAATATATCGATGACAAAGAAGAATCGCATAAAATGGTGCATGTTGAAGCATCAAAGAAAGAATTACTTAAGAGTAAAGACGAGCAAGAAGTAGAGCTGGGAGATATCTATAAAACGCATTCAACACAAACAAGTAGGATGGCGAATAAAAGTGTTACAGTGCGCCTTCAACAAGTAGTTTTCACGATACGAAAAGAAGCATGGAGGCTGAGCAATAGACTTACTAACCCAGAGCATGAAAAAGCAGTGAGAAAATATGGATACATTTAAGCACGAGTGAGATTCCGGTACCAAAAATTGAAAAGGAAACATGTTAAAATAGCCAACCACGCATCAGAATAAGCTCTTTTCAACAACAATATCAGCTCAAAAGCACATGATACCGGACAATATATGCCATAACATCTGCAAAGACACTGATTCCACAGACGTTCCCAACCCGCTTTTCTTGCGGCGCTTCAAAGGACAGTTGCGGAAGAAGTACGCAGACAAACACCCAGCGGTCGCCACCGCCCTGTCTGGGCCCGCACTACACTCACCTTCTCCTGTTCACGCGCCACCTCATCTTTGGCGGCCTGGAGGTCTTTCTCCAGCCTACTGGTCTGTGGTGCAGCACGAGGGGCGGGAGGGTCAGCCGCCAGACCGCCGGCCGCCGACTACCGGGGGTGCAAACTAACACACGAGGCGGGCAGCAGAGCAAAACAAGGCCGGCACAACGTGATAAACACAAACCGAATCGGCCACTGTATGGCATGTAGGAGAATCAAACAAGATCAAACGTAAGATGTACACATGTTCTCGGTTGAAGAGCTCATTGAAATCACTTGGTCGTCTTGCATTTTTGTGTTTGAGTAAGCCGATACCAAAACAGCCAGTCATTTCAATAAGCTCCTATCGAGAAAATACTGTCTGCAAATAATGAACAATAATTATCAAAGAAATTGAACACAGTACATAAAAATAATACTTAAAATACCTCATAAATCATCAGTTCTAAAATAACAAAACCAACGGCGGTGTCGTGTCCAGGCCAATCATCTATTGGTTATGGCTCTCTAGGTCTCTAACACGGGAGCACGGGTGTGACACAAGCCACGGCCGGGTTATCTAGCAGTGCGTCCAACACGATTCTGGCAGACACGGGTCGCTAGCTCAGATAACGTTGCTGGGGTGGGTACGAAACATGCAGCTACAGGGCAGTGAGTAATGTATGTACCATATTAGATGGCAGAGAAAATTATCGTTACTTAAGATTGCCTGCAAGCGGCTTAATGTTAACAGAGGCAGAGGACTGGGATCAAAATTGGTATGGCCAGAGTTAGGAATGATAATGACGTCCGAAATACGATGGTTATTGGGGGCGGGACCCGGCTGCTCAGTTGACCTCAAAACGTTGAAGGGTTAGACCAATCCATTCACATGTCTATCATAAAGTGGCTTACATATAGTGAAATGTGATAAGATGTGCCTGTACGGGAGATGTTAGTAGTCAAATCATACAGGAACACAGGGCAGGAACATATCTAGATAGGTAGGAACCACGCCAATACATTTACTGGATTATGAAAAATGAGCACACGATTTATAAAGTGAAACACAATATAATTCAGAGACCAAAGTTCCGTTCCTTAGATTTTTGGGGCTCCCCCAGTGTACTGTCAGTGTAATCTATTTACATCCGTGCTGGGCGGCATGCTCCAACTCCGCGGGCAGGGGAAGGGGGGGCTATCGGTCCGACCGTGCACCCCTACCGGAGGGGGGTGGGGGCTACCTCGCCGACCCGCCGGAGACCCAGAGCGGTCAGAAACACATACCTGGGCAGCGAGATCGTCCAGTTTCCCGGCGGCGGCGCTCTTCTGGCCCTCCAGCTGTTTGAGGGTAGCTGATAGCGTGTCCAGCTCGCGCTGAATCAGAAACCGGTACGTCAACGGCTACCCCATTTCACTAGAGCAAAACATCGCTGTTCTCTTGTGAATCGCTTCACATTGCAACAAATGGCAAATTTAGAATCACGTTTCCAAAATACTGCAAACATTTAAAGATGAGCTGCGAGAGAATGGGCGACTGGCTCGTTCGTCATACATCATCCACCAAACTCACAGCACAAATCAACCGTCTTTCAATTGGGCACTGAAATAACAGCTCGGGCTCCTAAGGAACACCGCGACGACGCCTCACCTGCAGCGTGGAGGCCTCGGACGTTTTGCTCTTGACCTGCTCCTCGCGCTGACCGATCTCCAGCTCGAGCTGATTCTGTTCAGACACCAGCGCCTCGATCTCCTTATGCATGGCTTCCAACTCCGGGTTCTCATATGTCGGGCCCCGCTCCTAAGGGAACAGAAAGGGAGGGATTAGAACGGCCGGACCTCAGCGATACCTTACACCAGCCACCATTCATTACCGCACCTGTTGATTACATCATACCGGTACCTGACAGTGTCAGCATCAAGCACTTGCCAGCGACAAAGTACAAGTGATTATTACGGACTCACGCAACGCGCTGATTAAGTAAAGCTCGTTAAGCTGCACGCAGGTGACAGGCGACACCACGCTCCAAATTATGTACGAAGCAATGTCTCACTTCATCCAAGATGCCCGGTTCGTTGCCAGGATCGAAGCTCTTGTAGCGTTTCAACCTGAACTTGAACATGGCTGCTATAATTAATGGAAGGAACCAGAACAGTCGCGCCTTCCCAACCTCTGTCACGGATAAACCAGCACTGTGGCCGTTTCACGGGTCAGGACAGGCGCAGAAGCGGCTGCCAGCGGGCCATCCGGTGTAGACCGAGTATCGCACAGGAAGGAAGAAGGCGTCCGTCCGTCGGCAGGGGCCCTGTCCGGCGTCGAGCGCTGTTCACACGCGCGGGGGAGTAGCAGACGAAAACGGAGCGAAACGAGCGAAATCGACGCAGAGGCGCAGTCTATCTCGGCCACATCCGGCGAGTAACACGGGAGGGAGCTGGCGGACCAAAACACGGCGGTAGGACGACCTTGGACGCCCACTGTCCAGGGTACGCCTCCATTCGTGACCAGTTTGCCTGCTAGCGCCTCAAACAAGTAACAATACATATTCCGCTACGGCGCTGTTTAAAAATTTATAGGATTCTTACAATGCGCCGACCTTCAATATTAAAAGCACGAAATATATCACTTCAAAATATCAAGTGGCCTTACGATAATGCAGTGAGGTGACAGGGTATTGAGGCGATATTCTTCAAAGTTCACTATGAATCATAGCCATCAACGATCGATTCGTTCCCAGAACTTGGGAAATCAGCGACCCGACGGACTCCACCGTATCGACTGAGGCGACTGCTGCATGTTAGTCAAGAATCCGCGCCCCACCCATGGCGTCTGACCTGGCACTGACTTCGGAAATGTCCGGAGCACCGGCGCTGGAACTCACACGGATGCTCTGGACCGTCACAATACTGCTGGCTGTCCTGACAGCGCCCACCGACGCCCACCCCATGCTGGACGCAATCACCAACTGGGTCAAAAAGGCCGGCAAAACCAAACTCGGTGAGTGGACTAAGAAATACCAGCACCACCGATCCAAATGAGCTCTGCGAGCCAAATGCGCACGGTAATACGACCTGAGATACAGCTTTTCCTGTTTGTTCACTAACGAAGTGTGATCATTTTCCGTTAAATAGAGAACGTTCCTTTCCTCAATAAGCAGTTGATGAGGTCAATCCAATTAAAACCGCTCATTTATTAACAACTGCCATAAACTGCTGATTTATATGATTCCCAAGCGTCTCCTCATGGTGAAAAAATAAAAAAGATGAAAACACCTAAGCTCGGTCTGACAATCTTCCAGGTCAGGGCGTCATAAACAACTTTTTCACTGGAGGGCAGCTGAACAGTGACGAAACAACCGAGGACCCGATGGAGTTCGAAAAACAAATTTGGCTGGCGGAGACAGGTCAGTCAACAGTCGACAAACCGGGACGCTTCTGATTAAAAGTTTGGGACAACCAACGAACTACAAAGCAAACTTTCGAGCAATACCACTGTATAATTCAACGTCTATCGATCATATGTGGTTGGCATGATCCGTTTTAGTGCGCTTAGTGTTCCTGACAACTGAAATAAGGCTAAATCAGACACGTTATCGGCTCTTTCTCAGGTCAGGTCAAAATCCGCAAGTTTGTGCTGAGCCAGCGAGAGCGAGGGGACTACATTCTCAACTTCCGGAAGTACTACAAATGCATCTCGGAGAAACGTCGAGCCAAACAGACGGTCCAGAGCACCGCGCTGGTCATCAAGGCTGGGGCGACCATCAGGTCAGGTCGGGTCGGGTCAGGGCGAGTCAGGTCGGTATGGAGATATAAGACATATCAGTCCGCGGCGGTGACAGTCTAGGACTTGCTCGACGTCAGCTTTCAGTGTGTTTGCCAGCCTTTGCAATTAAGTGGCCGAGATCCATGTCATACGAAAGTGTGCCATAGTAAAAGCATAGCCAATATTTGCCGATATCGGCGACCAACCGATCACGATCGTTCAGTGTTCACCGTTCTAATGCTCGCAAACCGAACTAGCCAATAAAACCTTTTCTGTTCGCGATCCACACCAGCGGCGGGACCATGACATTCCTCTCCAACGAATGAACCCAATCCTGACCTCTAGACCGAGCCGTCTGCCGCTCAGCGACCCCAGCTCCGGTCCCCACCACTGACTCCGTGAGTCCGTGACCTCCCCTCAGCGCCCATTGCCCGGTCTGCCAGTACCCGAACCGGGGCGACGCCAGCATCTGGCGACGGATGCTCTACAAACAGACCGTCACAGAGGACGTGCCCGTCGATATGGACCATTTTATCGTGTCGCCCGGTATGAAACTGACCCTTCAGGGCGCGCTGCCCTCCGACTCCGGCATCTACATCTGTCAGAACTACTTCACAATCCACGCCGTCTACAACATCGACGTGGTGCCGTTTCTGCATCCGAAGACGGTAAGTGGAGCCACTCACAATCCCCAGCGTGCTTCCCTGCGCATGACAAATTCATTCCACCCATACAACCGTGTCCGCCATTCGTTGTCACAAACAAATATAATGTATCTAAGCTCAGCGCGGACATCTCTATCGTGTTCCGAACGGTAGCCAATATCCACCCTCCGACTCCAACGAGCTGGAGATTGCCACTTCTCCCATCCCAGAGGGGATGGGAGAGGTCAGCACCTCTCCCATCCCCTCTCTCTGTCTCACACACTCTTCTCTCTCTCCCTCGACACAGGTGCACGGTCCGAGCGCTCCCTCCGGACCGTACCCCGCCGAGTCCGTGGATCTGAAGGAGAACAACCTGCGCATCTTCACGGACTGGAGCCAGTGGTCGTCCTGCAGCCGCTGTGACCGGGTCAGGCCGGGTCACAGGGGGAGGGCTCACCAGTGGTCACACCGTGGTAAATGCTGGATGAGGGTTCTACGACGGGGGAGTTACAATAGAGGGAGGGGTTATAAGTGGAAGGGGTCACACACAAATTGGAGAAGGGTTACACGGGGAGGAAATGGGCACACGCGGGAGTGATCACACACTCATTCAGGCCATAAAAGGGCTACTGGAGGATGAGGGAAGCTGAATGGTGTCACGACTGACTGACCAAGGACACACGCCGGGTAGGCCGGCACGGGACCGGAGAGGGAACGGGTCGAGGAGGGGTCGATGTGAGCCAAATGGGGCACAACTGGAAAAGGTCAGACCGCTAATCGGGTCAAATGCCAAGGTTTCAGAACAAAATTGATTAGCGGGGGAGCGAGATAGTGAACGCATTGATTCGTCCACTCAGCTTCCCAAAAGAACGTTTTGATTTCGGAGCGCCTTGGATACAGCGAATATCTGAAGTCGCTCAATGTCAGGCGCAAAAATAACCGCCTATCAGACCACAAGATCGTCCGTCTTGACGGCTTCGTCATGAATCGCCTAGAATCAGTGAGATCACCTGATATCAAATATGTTGCTATCAAGCAGATCGCTATGGGGACTTGGTCAACAGCGTCAAGATATCAATAGGTCATTTATGCCAATCATGGGTTTATGTCATACACCACCAGGAGGTCCATGATAGCCAGGGTTCACCCGGCGCCTATAATGGCCCCATCCATCCCAGGGTCACCGGGGGTATCGGTCGACGCTGCGTGAACCGGCCACCGGGCACGGGTGGATCGATAACCGGGACCGCCGCGTGGACCGACCACTGGGCCCCTGTGGACTGGTCACGGGGGCGACTGGGGACCGGTGAGAGAGGCGGCTGTGGCCGGTCACAGGGGCCGCTGTGGATCGGTTGCTGGGGTCGTTGTGAGCAGTTGTCTGCTGGAGAACCGGAAGACCCCGGAAATTTAACTGGCACGTCCAACTGGACCATAAATGTCATAGAAAACTTACCGGAAAAGTGTTGACAATGTGCACTTGAATGTTAATATGATGATTTGTTTTGTTCATAGCAAAAAAAAAACTTACAACAATATTGTGGGTAATTTGGCACATAATATTGCTGCATAACCAATCAAATAAATTATAAAACACAGATATAAGAATACGGCAGTTCGACGACGGTGATACAAAAAAGCCGCTTCCGACAGAGCTTCTGCAATCCTAAGCCGTTCGTTGGAAACAGATCCCATATAAGATCGATGATAAGGCAGCTCTGCGAACCGAGCTCCGGCAGTAGCATGCTGGACGGCGGGGATTCAGATCGAGACGGGCGTGGGCTGGTGTTGGCTGCTGTCGGTGATTGTCGGGAACTGCCGCACACTGAGCTGTCCTAGCGTTTCTACTGAGTAGACTGAGTGTTTCTGCCGGTGCTGAATGATATCGTCCTATACATATGTTACAGTTAGTATGCGAAATCCGTTAGTTTGCAACGCAACTAGTTTCGTTGCAAACTACCTGACCGGCCAGGTAGTTTGCAACGAAATTAGTTCCGTTGCAAACTAACTGACCGTCCAGTTAGTTTGCAAACTAACTAGTTAGGATGCAAACTACCTAGTTACTTTGCAACGGAACTAGGTGTGTTGCAACGGAACTAGTTGTAATGAGAAATCGACGAGGCAGTGGCTCTATTTGTCGGTTATATTCAACTTTTATGTAAATTTTAGCAACGGTTGTTAAAACAAAGTTTTGTTTTTCTAACGGGTGACACTAAACATAAGACGGGTGGTCACATTTAGGAGAGAAACAGTGAATTAACCGGATTCGACTACATAACGTTACGATCACTGGAGGATCCATGAGAGGGGGGGGGGCGCCCAAAATCGCTCCGCCATCCACGCAGCGCCCGAAAGCGACAAATATTTACTTATTTTGAGAACGAAACGAAAACTGAACAACTTTTATAATCAAATACTTGTTTTAGATTGCACAGCCGTTTGTAAGGATTGGAATCAAAATCCGAAAGATTTTCGGAAAACTTTTTTGGGATTATGTCTCCCGCAACGTTTAAGTTTAAGACCATCTTTCTGGAACCGCCAGTGATCACCATAAATGTGTAGACATAACCTGCGCCCCACTGGGGGGGGGGCTATTCATAGCCCCCTCCCGTTTTTCTGCAATAACTTCTAAACCGCTTGACGTATCGCCGCCAAACGTTCAGTAGGTACATATGCTGCATCAATGTGACACCTTGTGTCAAAATTTGAACTTCGTATCTATCATAGGTCGGCCGGAAATGACGTCAGAGTGACGTCATGTTCGATTTTCAGTTTTCAAAATTTTGTTAACTTGGTAAATTATACATATTAAAATTTAAAATTTGTATTTTCATCTTTATTCAAAAACTTTTGGATTTTCCGATAAAAAAACGGAATAAATATGATAGAACACATACATATGACTTAGGTACTCTAGCAAGTTTTAGCCAGATATCTTCAAAAATGGCCAAGTTATACGCATTATAGCAAAAATTTCACAATTTTAAATTTTCAAATCAATTTTTCTGTACCAATTTGACAACGTACACCAATATAAACAACACCATCGTGTTCCTGAGCTCAAACTGCATCCAATAGACATGTTTTTTGTTGAAAAATTTCAATTTTAAAATTTGATATTTTTGACCTGAAAGTGACCTGACCTCAGCTATATTCAGATGAAAATGGCCTCAACTGACACAGGCGACACCAAATTCGAAATCTATGGCCTAAATGGACCATAAAACATGTGTCACGTGACCGATTTATGACATAAGATCTCCGTGACCTATGATGACCTGACCCTGACCTGAAAATCAAAGTACAGGTTTGGTACCCTCAGAGTATCTAAAGCATCTGTTCACGAGTGTGTAAACCAAAACTCAGCCTGATCTGACTTGTAAGACGGCAGCCACAGAGCCCAAAAGGTGAACAAGCCAAATATCGATAATTTTTACTTTGGCCTGACCTGTGACGATATCGGTGACCTCGAGGTCAATGAAATTTGGTTTCGCCCGACAGTTTTTCCGGGGGCTATTAGATGCCGTTTGAATTTTGACGATCGGCCCAGTAGTTTCGGAGTAAGGAGGGGGGGGGGGGTCTATGAATAGCCCCCGTAGGGCGTGTTATACACAGACCCCAGTGGGGCGCGGGATAAGCGGAAAGTAATGGTTCTGCTGCCGATTTCGGAATATTCCAGAACCGAGTCGCTGACGAGCTCCTACCTCCACAACCGATCAGTCTGTGACGCAACCTGCCCAGTGCCCTTTGATCATTGGCTGTTACCGAATGACCCGGCACCGCTAGGTCACCTGGCTAGGCAAGTCGCAGTGGGAGTCGGCCGGTGAGACAGATTCTTGATCGCACGCTTACCCCGCATCACGGGACAATATGGGACAATACAGTTCAGTTCTGTTGTGTGCGGCGGCGGTGGTGACTGGTGTTAGTGGGTGTCTAAAAAAATCAAAATCGTAAAATGCCCCCGGAACTGCCCCTCCTCTGGATCCGCCGGTGATCGTCACATTATGTAGTCAAAACTGTTTCAATTTTCATCCATAAATGTGAGCACCCGTCCTACACGTATGTCTAGTGTCACCCGTTAGAAAAACACAGCTTTGTTTTAACAACCGTTGCTAAAATTTACATTAAAGATGAATATAAACGACAAATAGAGCCACTGCCTCGTCGATTTCGCATTACAACCAGTTCCGTTGCAACACACCTAGTTCCGTTGCAAAGTAACTAGGTAGTTTGCATCCAAACTAGTTAGTTTGCAAACTAACTGGACGGTCAGTTAGTTTGCAACGGAACTAGTTTCGTTACAAACTACCTAGCCGGTCAGGTAGTTTGCAACGAAACTAGTTGCGTTGCAAACTAACGGATTTCGCATACTAACTGTAACACATATACGAGTAGCTAAGCTTCTACCGCATATCGACTGGGTTATCACCAGCTGGGAAACGGCTGACGGCCACATCACTTGGATTAGGGTAGATGTCTGTCTTCGCCCACTCGTCCTCTCATCTATCCCTCAGGCCGTCCAGCCTCTGAGCAACTGCCTTTTGTAGCCTATTTCATTTACTACATGATGACATATGCCCTCCTGCGTTACCATATTCTCTCCGGCAGGTGGGGAAGCGGTTCCGATCTGGAATGTGCTTTGTCCAACCCCTGGAGGCCGACAAACCGATACGACTCAAGCCCGGAGAGGAGAGCTTGGTGGCCAGTAAGTAAGAAATGAGTGCCATAAGCACCACACTGGTGGGCAGGAGGGACAGGGGGGGGGGGGGGGGCGCCCGGACTACAGTGGTCATCGGCGAGGAGGGACAGAGGTTTGTGCATCACCATTCGTCACAATAACCCCATTAGCAGTAACGACCGAAATGATAAATGGAGATTGGCTGACGCGTGGTGTACACTCAAACAGACGCTATCATCGATAGTCGATAACAGGTCGGTGATCAGACTATTGACGTGGTGAGAATCCGACTCCCGGCCAAGTTCGCGTGTTTTCACTACGTCATCCACAGAGGAAAAAGGAGCTTCATTTACAGTTGGTCGAGCAAAATACCTTAAAAACTTTAGCACACGCAAAGAGGGGAAAACACACGAAAACACGCAAAGAAAAGCTCAAATGGTTACAAAGTTCCGCTTGTCCGACTAGCCAGTACCGATCACCAGAGCTCTGTCCTTTTCCCCGGCAGAGTCGGCGTTTGAGCAGTTTCCACACGGCCTGCCCTGTGAGACCAAGCTGCTACCAAACGAATTACGCGAGCTGCAACCGGTGGCCGACAGGCGGGCCGAGAGAGAGGTCCGATTCTGCAAGGTAACCGACGGAGACGAGAGGAGAGGAGAGAGGAGAGAGAGAGAGAGAGAGAGAGAGAGAGAGAGAGAGAGAGAGAGAGAGAGAGAGAGAGAGAGAGAGAGAGAGAGAGAGAGAGGAGAGAGAGGACATGTTTCTGCCAGGTACCCGCAGCCACACACAGCGAGAGCGCTCTAATCTGAAACAAGTTAATCCAAAGCTACTTTGTAGCGTGCTTATATCGGTTGTGCATTTGCCGTACAGTAGGTCTATTAAAAAAGTCCCCAGCACCAGTGGGCGCTGCCTTCGCTGAGCCGAACCCCCGTCTGCCCGTCCCATATCGCGCCAGGCTCAGGTCAGGTAGGGTCAGCGGGACCGCTCGGTCCGGCCCGCGGGCGGTGGACGGGCGGCCGGTAACGCTTTCCACCAGCCAGCTGTATGTAGAATCCAACAAACGGGACGGCCACCGCTCAGCGCAGCGAAACCGGTGTTAAAGAATGGCAGTAGATGTTCATGGCCACAATGATTGTGAGATAGTCATTGTTAGCCCGTGCCCCACAGGAATGCCTAGACTCTCACGCCCTGTTGGAGGAGAAATGGGGATTGAGCATCATTCTTATAACTCAGCTTTGGGCATTTAAGTGACATTCGAAGTAGCGTCAAAAGTAGCAAAAAGAAGAAGAAAAAAAATACTTCAGCCAATTTTGGACCGGGTCATAACCAGAGGTCATGTCACTAGAGGTCATCGATGGTAAAATTTTGCTTAGACAAGGTGCGTTGCGCGCATTGGTGCATTGGGTTTCCAATTTCCATGGAAACATCAACAGACTCGGAAGCTCGCAACAGGGGCGCGGGAACTACTTTCCGACTGGGGGCACACCATAATAGAGGTCAACCTGGGGTCCCCTCAAATCTAGTTTTCTCACCGGTTTTAGGCCACTTATTTTTCATCCCTCGGCTTTTTCAACAAAAAAGAAAACATTTGCAAAAAAGTGTGGTATTTCGTCTCAAAGCTGTGGGGGCATCGCCCCCACGGCCCCAGAGTTGGGGGGGGGGCAAGCTGCCCCCACTGCCCCCCTGGCTTCCGCGCCTATGGTTCGCAACGCTAGCGTGGAGCCGAATTCATATCAACCGCCGCAACAATGCAGAAGCGCAGCGCAGCGTGCTGCAGCGCGGGGCCGTGAAACACCGCCCAGGGCTAATCCATGTGTCAGGGCAATCCAACCCACGTGATGGGCTCGGCCCCAGCGGAGCATGAGGTCCAGGACTCCCGCCCAGGCCCCCTGTCTCCCCCCTAATTCCTATCATCCTTCCCACTCTGAAATCGACCGAAAGAGCCTAACCTAACACAGCAATCAGCTCGTTTACCGCTATGTCTGAAATCTGAATAATATTGTCAGATTTAATTAGCGTCAACGGCTAAGCATGTAAATAACAACAACTGCCACCATCGGTATTATGAGAAAAAGCAATTGCTTTTCCACAAACACTTAAAAGTTTTTAGCTTAAAACTTGCATGAAATTAATTTTACCAGCCTCGTGTTTCTCTTATCAAAACGCTTCGAATGAATCAAAAGTTGATCTTTAAAGGTAATTTGAAAAATTTGGCCTATGTTCAAAGCCATGACCTGACCAGAAATGGTCATAATGCATAGCAGGATATTAGATCCGTATCGTGGAACTTTACAAACACTTCAGATGATTTCATAAGTCAAGCATGTCTCTCTAAAAAGTTAATTGTTTTCAAAACGGGCTTCGCTGAGGAAAACTAAATATTATATAATATTATATAATATTTAGTTTTCCTCAGCGAAGGCCGTTTTGAAAAACAATTAACTTTTTAGAGATTTATTAACCTGAGGAAAAGAATAATGACGCTTCGGCAACATTAAGCATGTCTATCGAAAATAATTATTACACGGCTCATATGTAAGCTGGGTGTGTGAACATGCTTGCGAGTATGTTGAACGCAACTGATAATGTTCTGTTGGCCACAATTTCTATATTTAATTTATCCTCCCGACTTTCTTATTTTTGTTAATGACACCTTGACGGTGTCGAGAAAAAAAAAACGCTCAGGAGATTTATCAGCCTGAGATACATTCAGTATAAGGAAGGTTCAAGGGTGCTAGATTCCTTCCGTCCTCACTATCCTCAGGAAAAACCAATCAGCATCGCCCCTAGTCTTCATGCTTCCCTCTCCGGACTGGAGGTCACCCCACCAGCCAACCTGTAGTTGATGTCGGATCCATTCCAGGACACATAATCCTCTTCGGGTGACCGTTTGGAAGACGGCTGGACCGTCCTGACAGGGCAATCGTCCCACGGGAACAGTCTCGCTTCCGCAGATCACTGTCGCTGGCTCGCACATCCCAATTTATACTACACCACAGCCTAGTTATGTCATAGCTCAGCTCGTTATGTTCTGTTGCAAGGGCCTTTTCAGACCGAAAAAGATGGCCCCCAACAAAACAAACAATTTTCTCATTCAGTATTGTATCTCATCAAGCACCACATGTTTTCAGAGTGTTTATTATGCGTTCCGTCCAAAAAAGTGCAGTTCAATTTTCTCCCATTTACTTGAGCTTTGATCAATCTCAAAATTGACCCGGCCTCTCTGTCAACAATGTCAAACTTGCAAAGTAAACGTTTCAAATACATATAATGTTGCCCATTAGAATCGCTGAAAGTTCTGAAGCGATCGGTTAGTCGGTGTATTTAGATATGATGAGCACAGGAACTTTCCTTGAGGTAAGGTCACTTGACGTAACCTGATGTTATGATCTTGAATTGGGCGAATATGAATTGACTTTGGCGGGAAAAAATGGGTCATTTGAAATCTTAAAATGCTAGATTTTAACAAAAATTGCAAACACTATCCCGGCCAAATATTGAATGAGAAGGGAGCGATTCCCCGACCCCATGTTTAGCTCCTATAATTGAGCTAGCTGCTAGAGCCTCGCGAAATAATAAAAAAAAAAACGAGCGCTTGCGTCGTTACGTGACGCAGCGACTGGCACCCCATTTTAAAATATCAGTGACCTCTTAGGGCAGGTCAAGGGCCCCAAGGCATTTGATCGGTTCTTGGTATATAACTAAACGCATTTTCGTCATTTCGATACAATCGTGTTTTCTGTTCTCAGACGCGTCGATTTATATGCTTTTTTGTTTAGGTGAAGCAATTTAGGATGTTTACCTCAGGTCAATGTCATGTTAGGGCAACGCAGGTCACGAAGCTGTTGAAAGGAGGACATGTTGCATAACATTTGATTCGGCAAGTCTTGCAAAGTCCATTGATGGCTGTCCCGACTGGCTAGCTCATTTTGATCGGGAGTTATTGACGAAACACTCCTATGACCCTAGTGACGTCATAAATGACGTCACGCAAGGTGAACAATGCAAAAGTGAAGCATTAGACCTTGCCAAGAATGCATGAAGTCACGATTTCATGTGCTTGAGGTATAGTTTCAGATCATTTCCGACGTCAAATTAACGGTTTCCATAATTCCCCATTATGCTTATACGACACTAAAATAATGCATTGCGGATTGCATCATTTTATAACCGACAACCGTGCAGAGGTTTACCTAAGACGTCATATTTAAGTGACCTGACCTGAAAACGTGGTTGATGTCAAGTGATCCGGCTTGAATTAAATGTAAGGCATGTGAAATGTCAGCCTTCTATCATCAGTGTGCTTTGAGCTAACGCAAAAAAAATGCATGGTGGCGGCATCCACCCCTTCTTCTCGGCCGGCGAGGGTTAAACCTCGCTTCGAATTATTGCAGATAATGATGTGACCAAAAGCAAAGTATTATTCTGTGTCTAGAACGACCGCTGAGTCGCTGACTTGTTGGACAAGATCCCCAATCTTAATTCGCTAGATGGGAATAAAATACTCGGTATGTGATACATATAGTTATACCCCTCGATTTGCCCTCGCGCTAAGTCTATTCTAATCATCACTGTCGCTTTTTTATCCGAGATGATGTCGCCGCTAAACGGGTTGTTTTGTTTGCTTGCTTGCGCTGAATGGCCATTACAGATTATTGAAGGATTATGAGAAAATAGGAATGGGGCAAGGGAGGATATGCATTGTAGGTGTTTAATTTAGATCACAAAGGCATCATTTCCGACATTGTGCAGAGTCATTATCTTCCCCTCCTCTGCACTGCGGCATCTCTGCGCCCCACACACGGCGTCCTCACTCCACGACCGGCCGCCGCCAACTGACCCCTCGCCGGGCGCCGCGACCTGACCCGTGTCGCTGCCGCGGCCTGCGCAATAGAGTCGGGGCTGGAATCCGGGGGTTCGGCCGGCCGACCGCCTCTGGAGCGGGGGACTTTTTTAGTAGACCTACTGTACAACGGAATGTAAATATTTGAATACGAGTTCCGCAGCCCAATGCAAACATGGAAATATGTTCCCGCTATGGTAAACCCAATCCGAAAACATTAATCAAACAGACTATGAGTTTAAATCTCGTGAATAGCAGCATGCAGACAATGTCGTCAATATCGCTGCAGACAGTGCCAGTTCCTGGACCTACTAGGGACTATCGCGCCCAGACGCTCATATTCCAGCACTGCCACGAAACTCAGCCTGACAGATTGTAGGGTTCCTAGAACCGACACCACCGTGACAGCGTGGCCCATCGACCGCGACGCTTTATGTTCCACCTCCGTGGCTCCCTTATCCCATGCATCACAGAACATCGTGACATTTCTCTTCCCTTACCTATCCAGTCTCCCTGCTGTCCTACAGCCACTCCTGAGACTACATATTTCCATCCTCTTCCCCTTTCCGTACTGCCTCATACACGGCCGCTCCACTACCACGACGCCCCCTCCCTCCCCGCCCCGCCCCGCCCCGCCCCGCCAGGTGCCGTGCCCCAACACCCGAGTCTGGATCGTACGGGACGCCTACGGAACGGTGCGCGAGATCTGGAAAAAGAACAACCGTAGCATCGTGGAACGACTGGAGGCGCCTCTCTCCAGCTATGTGCGCCGCAGTACCGTCTACACCAACACCGGGAAAAAGATACGGATCGTCTGCAGCGGGTGAGAGGGAGGGAGAGAGAGAGAGGGAAGGGAGGGAGGGAGGGAGAGAGGAAGAGAGAGAGAGAGAGAGAGAGAGAGAGAGAGGGAGGGAGAGAGAGAGAGAGAGGGAGAGAGAGGAGGGGTAGGTGAGGGGGAGGAGAGAGCATGAGAGGTGCGCTTGCTTTTACAACAGCGCATCGGTAGTTAGCAAAGTTCGGCGTTGTTCGCAGCTGGTAATCAGCGGTCTGGTTTGGAAACTCAAATTTCGATAATCAATGTCAACTGCAATGGAAAAGCAGCATTCACCTTGGTGGCGCTGTAACAACCCCAACTCGGCGGCCAACGCTTCACTTTTCATACAACTGTTGCAAAAAAGGAGCTTAGTTAAACATGAAACTAAATGTATTGATCTAACTTCAGAAATCTACGCTCCTGAAGGGAAATAGCTGCAATAAACATTCATCGTGCATGGAAAGGCTGCCGCGCCACGCCTACAACCGGTAGTTATATCCATCGATTCCCGCACCGTCGATGCACGGGCGGGCGGCGGCCACGCCAGCTCCCCTCTGACCCCTCCCCCCCCCAGGTCAGATCACAGCTCCGTGGTGCAGTGGCAGAAGAGCAGCCGCCTCCTGGACCCGGTGGGCTACCGGCGGGAGACCCACGGCAGGGTGTTCATCGACATCAACAAGGTCATCCATATCAGGAAGGCTGCCTCCCAGGACTCGGGACTGTACACGTGAGCACTTGAGGGCCGATAAGTTGGAGTGGGCATGATAAAATTAGCGGCACTTCAGGCGGGACTGAGTGCGGGAGAATCGTGGGAACTAAAGTAAAGTGCTGAATCAGAGATCGTTGGATCAATGAAGAATAACGAAGAATGAAAAGAAAGGCAAGTGGTAAATTAACCATCACAATTATAAAGTCTTTATGTTAATGAGTTTTTAAGTTCTTGTAGAAGCCAATGGACCAGTGAAGTCCTCGGTGCTGGACGGCGATCATTAGCAACCCCGCAGCTTTCTCCAAAAACCCCAGTGGAACACAGAACTACGAAGCTGAATATCCAGACCAATTGACTGCCCATTCAGCCCACTGGTACTGTGACCACCTCGTGTGCCCCCGGTCTGCCCTCAGGTGCTGGCAGAAGGACAACATGGTGGCCTCTGTGCAGCTGGTGGTCGAGTACAACATCTACTTCAAGTACAAGGAGTACATCGTGGTCATAGGGATCAGCGTGCTGGCCGCGGCCATCGGTGTTGGTATTCTCTGTATGTGCGCCAAGTCCTGCTACAAGCGCTGCGGAGGAGGCAAAAAGAAACCCAAGATGATCATCGCGAAAACGTGACGAAACGACAATATGTGAAATGAATCGATGATATGTGAATCGTAATGCAATCCTAAGTGTTTGCAGTGTGTTGTGAATCGAACAATGAAGCAAATTATAACAGAGAGTGAAAGAAGGAAAATGACAGATTATTTCCTTTCGAACATCTACTTGTAATGAACAAATATTTAATTATGCGCAGTTCGTCTTGTGTCGAGAAAGCTGTCGGAGCGTTATTAGTACTTCAGTGACTGTTTACAGTCTCTGTGACTGCTACACATTTACTAGTCTGCATCGACATCGTGACTCATGAGCCATGCACGTCATGCCATTCATATCACCACGACCTTTTAGAAATATAAATAGCAAATGTGTGTGGGTGGGTGGATATGTAAGGTGATAGCAGCCCACAAACATCCTATAACCGTGATACGACTGTCCTGTGGAGAGCGAATACTAACGTGATAGCGATCCCACAATATAAACAATCACACGGTACTCGTGGTTTCTTTCATCCGTCCCTACATCATCTTGTGGTGAGCACTAAGCACTTACTATCGGTCCACTCTAAAGATCATCTCTCAACTTCAGAGCAGATCGGTCTATAACGACTGAATCAATCTGTTTAGCCCCGCCAACACCGGAGCCCTCGTTATTCAGATCACACCACCTCTACAGACTCCACTCTCGCCCGTTTCGTGAGTACGCGATAGTGCGCCTGAAGCGTTATCCGGATAATCCCATCACCGTCCTGATTATCATGCACGCCACAACGCCGGCGGCTGGGGGCCGCAGGCGGGGAGGGTTCGCTGGGAGTGACCTGTCATGGAGCCGGCGGCTGGGAGGGGGCGGCAGGGGGAGGGTTCACTCGAGTCTCGGACTGACCTGTGGCGCCGGGGGCAGGGCGGAGGGGGGAGGAGGATTCACTCCGACTGACCTGTGGGGGTGGTTGCGGCGCCTCCTGGCCCGGCTTTGGCCGCATGGTGGGCGGAACCATCTCTGGCGTCAGCGCCGCCGGCAGTTCAGCGCCGTTCAGCTTCTGCTGTATCAGGTACAGCGCCAGAGCGAACTGCTCCCGGTTCAGCTTTCCAGTCTGCTTCATGTCACACAGGTTCCTAGAAAATGGAGAGGAGATGAGACAACAGGAGCACTCGCTAGGGGATAAGACGATGGGTAAACGCGCGGAGTGTAATCGCACGAATTCGTAGCTGATGACGAATCAGACAATGAAGGTAGCTATGCCATGAAGCACTGGAACACGAAACAAGTAGACTTACTAGCCATTATGCAGCGTCGATGTAGCACCCCATGTCTAGCAAAACAAGTTCAGCCGCCGTTGAAAGAATGTTGACATTCCGTACATGGATACATAATGAGCAAGGAATGTCCCCAGCGAATTGCGTTGTCGAAATGAAAGCCACACCTCAAAATTTGTTATTCGTCAAGGAAAATGGCATCAGTATCAGTGTTTCTTTTACACATACAGCATGCTTTCACGAATAACAAATAAGCGAACCATAATACTTTTCCATGTACCTACACCCGATATAACAGGACCCATCACTGATCTCACTAAATGTAGCTAGGAGCTGCATGCAACCGCGGTTAATACCGACTTACCATATGTGTGCGAGTGCTAGCTGTGCCACGCCCGACTTGAGGAAGATGTCCTTGATTTCGGCGCCGGAGACGAAGCCGTCCTGATCCTGGTCCGCGGCTGTGAACATGGCGTCTGCCCGGGTCTTGTCGGCGGCAGACACCACCCAGACGGGCTGGACTGGAGAGGGCGACGGCCGAGCGATCGGCTGGAAAACGGTACAGAATACAGTCAGACACCAGTCACCGGATACAAACACCACCCAGACGGGCTGGACTGGAGAGGGCGACGGCCGAGCGATCGGCTGGAAAACGGTACAGAATGCAGTCAGACACCAGTCACCGGATACAAACACCACCCAGACGGGCTGGACTGGAGAGGGCGACGGCCGAGCGATCGGCTGGAAAACGGTACAGAATGCAGTCAGACACCAGTCACCGGATACAAACACCACCCAGACGGGCTGGACTGGAGAGGGCGACGGCCGAGCGATCGGCTGGAAAACGGTACAGATAGATTCAGACGCGAGTGCCACCAGATACAGATACTCCTCACGCGGGCTGGACTAGGGGTAGCGCCAACCGCTGGAAAACGGTACAGATAAAGTCCGACACCAATGCCACCAGATACAGTCAGACGCCAATCACAGAGACAGATTTAAAGATATCACAGGCCGGGTCAACACTCAGTAGGACTGCAAACGGTAGACACACGAGGCAAAACAAACCACGATGCCCACAACAAAACACGATTCTCAAACGTCCTTTTCCTCTCCGCTTCCTCGAAGAATCAGTCAAAACTCGATGGTCAGTGTCGTGGTACCCGAAGTCCCAACACTGACTTGATGCGCCCATCGAATGTTGGTACGGCTTCCCCTACCTGTAGAAGTCTGTTGGAACACTGAGGTCATTACGATAGTATGGTATCATTTACTTGATGAGTCTGTCTCAGGTCTTGCCCTTACCTTGATAATTCCGTCGGAAGTCGGCAGCAGGTCAGGCATTGAGCCCAGTGAGCCCCGCGCCTTTGCGGCCGGTATCATTTCGGGAGGCAGTGTGGCGGGTACGGGACACTTGGCCAGCGCCCGGTACACCAGGTGCATTGCCTGCAGGGTAATACGCGTATCAGCAGAGGGCATTAGTGGGACCTGCAGTACTTCGCGTGGAGTACAGAGATGATCCATTTAACGGTCAACTGGGCAGTTTAAAGCAAACTTTCAGTTTATATCTTCTTCTACGATAAAAGGCCGATAACGTTATGGCAATTAACTGAAGCCTCAACCAAATGAATACTAGTCGGAGGATCATACCCCCTGCCATGAATTACCACTTGCCAGTGTCAAATATCTGTACTCACGATGGTGAACTCGTCCCTGTCGAGGAAGCCGTCCTTGTCCATATCGGAGAGGTCCCATATCCTGCCGAGGGTGTCCATCGGCAGCTTCGAGTTCAGCAGCACCTCCCGCACCTGCCGGAGAGGAAACACGGCGGGGCTAGTGAGGACGGACGCTGTTGTCTTGTAGTGCATAGCGTGGATATTTTTGAAGCGGGATTGAGATGGGTTTGCATAATGCATAGTGACTGAATGTCCCATACTAATGGCAAAAAAACGGACAAAGGCGATTTGAAAAAGGCAATCGAGGCAATGTGCGTGTAGTGCGATAAAGTAACGCAGTTGGTAAATAGTTAGTTAATCATAAGCAAGCCTGCACAGTGCACAGTTAACATAATCATGGCCGAAGAACCTGACGAATCGGTCACTACTGGACCTGGTACATTGCGGAGACTCCGACAATGTTCCCGCAAAGTGATAGTCACATTTAACGAAATGAGCCGAGCCAAATCCATCGGTGGAACCTCTTATCGGTGGAACCTCTTATCGGTGAACAAAGCGGTGGAAAGTGTTAAACCCAGAACCCACGGGTATCCCTCTACCAGCGCTGTCGTCCCACCTTGTTGCCGGGAAGTCGCTCGTTGATGGGTCCGAGCGAGTTGAAGATCTGATCGTACCGCTGCCGGTCCTGCGGTCGCACCGCCCAGGACGAGTCGCCGTTGCCCACCGCTGGCGGTGTTGAGCTGATGGGAGGCGGCTCTCCCTGCCGCGCCAGCGAAGCGTCAGGGCAGGACAGGCGCCGCAGGGTCTGAGCGTTTATTTGGCACCCGGTGTGCCATCACCAGGTAAAGGCACGCAGGGTGCCGGACATGTGAAAGTGCATCAACCTATGCCTATTGTCATCGCTAATGTGCCACGAAAATCGCACAATTAAAATGAATATCATAAATCGCTATTCTTTTCAGCTTAAAGAAAAGCATGCCGCGATTGTGTCGAGACTTCAAGACAAGACACTGTAAAAATAAAATGCAAATGACCCCGCAATAACCGCATCCCGAAGGCATAATGAATGCAAATACAAACAACGTAGGCGGTGGGAGCGGGAGGATCAGTACACCTAATCGCTGAGAGAGTCGAGGTTTAATCGTAAGCTCACCATGTTGGGCGGAGGTACGTTGAGCTGCACATTCGAAATGTCGACCCGTTTCGAGTTCTGAGCCAGCGCTATCATCTTGAGTGCAACAAAGAAACCCGTTTTGTCGAGCTGCCCCATGCATTTCGAGTCAGCGATGTCCCAAATCTGAAACATAGTTACCGGTTTAGTCAAGCGAGACGGGCGAAAAATGCGAGACAGGATAAGGTCCCGATAAACTATGGGGTACATTTCCCAAACAATTACATTCATATGATTTGTGACAGAAAATCAATAGAGCACGGCTCGGCGGTACCATCTGAGGTCCCTGGCGCTATTCACACGGCATAATTCAGAAGACGAGCAGCCTAACTGGTCGGCCGACACCCACGCACGCCTACGGGCGGAGCCGGAGCCATCACTGGCATCGGCGGCACAGGGCCGGCCTATACCGAGAGCTGCTACCCAGCAGGCCCGGTCGCCGAGCGAGCACATCGTCATTCATGAATTATTTCCAGTTCACTGAATGCATAACTGTACTGTTTAGGCCTCAAGGGTGAGAGATGCAGATAGATGTGCTCAGTACTGGTCCCACTAACCACTTAGCAGATGACACTATATCTAACACTGCATCAGCAAACAACATACCTGACCCAGCACATTGTCTTGAAGTCCAGACTTCTTCAGGAACTTTGCAGCATCTAATGCCCCAATGACATTAGTGTGGTTCTTGTCGACCTATAAAACAGAATCATAGTTCAAACAAACAAATATATGCTGCTTCTGAATGATTTCTATAAATGGCAAAACACAATGTAAGGTCTATCTGTTCATGTTTTTATGCACATATTAGCTGGTAATCATGTCCTTTGAGCAGCATTTGATAGTATAGGCATACTTGCTGTTTATTGGGGCTTTAGGGCGCGTCGACTGCAAAGGTCATTTTGCGCCCAGTATAGGCATATTTCTCATGAGTGCATAGGTATTTCTCATGAGTCTAACAATCTAACACAATATTAATTGTGCAATACCTAACAAACAAACAACCTTTTCAATAAACTGTGATGTGAACTCTACATTAACCTTCGCCGGCACAGGCCATTTTGCGTCCTTCGACGGCACAAGGGGGGGGGGGAGGTTGGTACGACCCCTTCTCGCGTTTGGCCCCTGATTGAGCTAGAGCTTCGCGGAAAAAAAACGAGCGTGTTGCCCGTCACGAGAGGAAGCCGATGATACCCAATTTTAAGGTCCTAGGTCATCGGTTGACCTTCCAGGCCAGGTCAATGACCCAAATGTAAAGAAAATCGGGACCTATGAAAGTCGTAAAGTGTGGCTGATAAGGAGTTTTTCGGGGTGCTGATCACTAATATCGTGTTAGTTTTGATCACAGATGATTTTTAAAGCATTTTAAGCGGGTCGAGTCGGGTCAGGTCAGGTCAACCAGTAACCGAGGTCACCAAAGGTCAATGACCTGACCTGACATTCACATGACCTGGACATCCACCCTAATGCATGGGAGTAACATCAAATCACATGTTTGAACGTTTGAAACCACGGAAAGCTTGCAAACGCGCGGCTAATGCGAGCCGACATACCCCGAATCGCGATTCCGGCCAAACATGGTCTCGGAAAGTAGGTCACAGGTCAAAGGTCATTTGGGTCAGGGTCATGAAATTTTTAGGGTAGGTGTAGAATTGATCAATGCGAGGGTACTGAACGTTTCGTCGCGATCGACCGCTTTTTACGCGAATTATTCGCGAAAAACCTTAGGGGGGTTGATCCTTAGAAAAAAAAATCTAAAAAAAATCCTGTGCCCCCTGTGCCGGCGAGGGTAAAAACTTGCTTAAAACAGCATTTTAGGCCCTAGCTATTCTGGTGAGTCTGTACACTAAACTGAGAGCTAGTCTGTAGCCTGTGGTTCTAAATATTACAGCTATAAAGAGGTATCAGGCAAGAAAAGTACAAAAATGTCTACCACCAGCTGTTATAAAACATACAGTGAGATGGAGAGTATGCACAGTAATTTAGTGGATTTGGAACTCAGCCCTTAGTTGCCACATCAACTTAACAGTGGATACATGCTAGTGAGCACTGTTTAATATTAGTATTAGTACACTGATACTTATAGTTCACTACTACTTTTAGTACACTGAGATACCCTTTAGGCTTGAGACACATCACATACCTGGTTATACCATGCTTCATAAATGCCTATATGGGCTCCAGCTATCTGAAAAGATTGACACATCTCATTTGCAACTGTGCTCATGAGTCACAATGGATGCTAGCAACTCCTATATTCATACTGGTCAACCAAACTGCCAAAAAATAATGAAATCATTCATAAGTATGGACTGCAATGCAAACTCTTTCATTTCAGAGCAAACACAATATTTACCATGAAGTGTGCGCAATATATTACAACATATTACATAGGTACATGTACTTAGCCAAGAATATCCAAAGCTTGCTAATATTATAAATAAAATACTCAACTGCACAAAGAGTGCAAACATCATTGAATTACCCAAGATAACATGGACATAGGTACTTTAAAGGTCACCATTATTAACCATCCAGTGAGACCAAAAGCCCTTATTATTAAATAAAATATGTGCAAGTTGTAACTTTTGTTCATAATTATGAACTTTTACACACCAAAAAGGCCTGAAGATGCATAATTATGAAACAGTTCTGTAATAATGACTTTACAATGACTTGGCATTTAAGAGTACCTATACATACACCATATTATAATAATAAAAAAGGTTTACTAGTTACGGAGCGAGCGAAGCGAGCGTAGTCTTTCCTTAGATTAACGGAAATTTCTGAGTATGAGCGGCCGGCCGGCCGGCCGGCCGGCCGTGGTCACGCTTTTGCGAGGCTTATATATCAGCAACCACTTGACCGATTTACACGCGGTAATTTTTGTAGGGTAGCTTCATTCCTGCTACCAAGTATTGGACTATTCCCGATGCATGTGGGTGACCTCTTATGCACGTGCCACGTGCAAAACGAAGAGGTGTCATTTTTGTAATTGTTGCAATATCTCGGTAACTACTTGGCCGATTGCGCTGAAAGTTGGCATGTAGGTAGGCACCTACTAGGCAATGCATATCCATGTGCCAGAGTTGGGGTGCTGCTGCACGTGCGCACGTGCAGGGGTCGATTCCAGATCTCGAGAATGGCTGGACCGATAGCGCTCAAATTTGGTACACAGTTAGGGACCAGTTAGTAGGGTGCCGTGCAAAAGTCAGATGGGACCCATTTTGCACGTGCGCACGTGCAGGGTGCCGCTTCCAGATCTCGAGAACGGCTGGGCCGATTGTGCTCGAATTTGGCAAATCGCTGGAGACCAGCTAGTAGGGTGCCGTGCACAAGTCAGTTGGAGGTACCCTCTCGCAATTTCGCACGTGCAGGGCCCACCCTCTCGCTCGCTCCGTTGGTCGCCCCAAAAGGCGTTATACTGGTTACTACACATTCAGCTGTTCACAGATTTGTAGCCCGTAGGTACTAGATGCACGCAGCAAATGCGCATTGGCTAGGTTTAAACACAAATGCATAATAATAAATTTAACCACAGACATGATGTAAAATTCATTCCCAAAAACCATAAAAACAATCAACACATTATTCAACTGGAATTATCACACATTTGAGCAAACTTCATGCGCCGGTGACCCACCACTACCAGACAAACGGCCCAATTAGCCACTGAATATGCAGAACCGCGACAAAGAAGACTTGTCCTATGAATACTAACCTCATTTGGAGTCATGGTTGACACCAAAAATTACAAATATCAAATAAATTCGCATGTGAGAGCCCACGAATTCATCACACCCTAAGGGGGCGGTCTCCGCAATCGATTTGTGGCGATCAAGGACAGGCCTAATGCCTAACTCTAATGTGTGAATTTTTAGCGATATTTTCCTCGTGTTATCAGATGACGTCATTAGCCCATTAAAGCGTTTTCAATTTATCAAACTTTTTACCTATATTTACATTAAAGAATGTGCTTCTCAATAAAATTTGTAGCAACTTAGAAGAAAATGAATGTTTTTCATCCTTTTGCTTCTCGTCACTGTCAAGATTCCTTTACTACTACGACGTACTACGTACGTCACTGTAACCATTTGTAGCGCAGGCTCCAACCAATAATTACTCGTCAGAGCCAAAAACAACGCATGAGACGTTTGCGCCAAACAAAGCCATCGTCGCACGCGACGCGACGCTGCAGATTTTCCAAAGTTGAAGTCGCAGTGTGAAGTTACTGAATATTGACGGCATAAATTGTGGTAAGTCACTTATTTTAAATTTAATTTGATGTTTATGTACATTATCGGAAAACCATCCTAACCAGTAGGAACAGAAGTTCATGGGCTGTTCGTGACTCGGGAACTCAAACTGTGCAGCGTGCTCTGCGCACTTTGCAAGGCTGGCACTGCGCGAGCCATGGCATAGGACTTGAATTCAGAACGTACCTATTTCGCTTTGGCTTTTCCGCATATCTTTGCAGCTTTCTGTGTTGTGCACGAGTGAAACCATTGACTTGTTTCATTTTTTTTTGGCAATGTGTTGAAGAAATCCGCGGATTGGCTGACAATGGTAATTTAGGTACTGTCTTAGAGACATGTTAGTGTGGAGAGCAAATAGATATTATAGGATTAAATTGGACTTACTCCACAAGAGAATCGTTTTCGGTCGGAGCTTTCGACATGTATTACATGTCCTCTTCAGCGAAGGTCGGTAATCGGGGCGAAAATAAAACGTTTGGGTCGAATCGAATCGCACAAGATGTCGAGCTCACCGACATCTTGTGCGATTCGATTCGACCCGAACGTTTTATTTTCGCCCCGATTACCGACCTTCGCTGAAGAGGACATGTAATACATGTCGAAAGCTCCGACCGAAAACGATTCTCTTGTGGAGTAAGTCCAATTTAATCCTATAATATTTAGGTACCTACTGTTAATGCCCGCCTACCTACATATTGCTGTATGATATCACTATCAATATCAAAAAGACTCAGATTTTGGATTAACTTATACCTGTTAACAAAATAAGATGACTGATCATCGTTTCCCAGACCAAATGTGTTATTTGCTATTCTTCAATATCAATATACATGGATTTTCCTTATTATTAGAATGAAAAATTTATTTTCCATAAATGAATATTTCATAAATAATTGCATCACATGAATATGTGGATCATCGTAATAAGAATCATTTTTCTCAGCTGTAGATTCTAAGATTGTTTTTTTTTTCTTTCTTTCTTTCGAACTACTCCGCCACCCATTATTAGGTGACCAGGAGTGCCCCCACCCTCAGCCCAGCGACTCACAGCACCTTACGTTAACACCAGATAAAAATAAAAAAGGATAAGTCGCGGCACTCCCAGCTAGGAAAATTGAGAAAAAAAAAACAAAGTAAGCAAAAGAAGTGCGGGAACCGGTTAATAAATAAAGAGAGCCAAAGTAGTCATTGCTGAAAGCAGCGGATGACTGTTCTACTACATCTAAGAAAGAAGTCATTCATACATGCATACATAATTGGTTAGTAGAGTGCATTCAGCCTTTCACTCCTAGAAGAAAAATCAGCAAATGGCAATCCAGTGGGGAAACATTTCTGGTCAATTCGAGCGCAGGTCAACAGCCAGACTTTCTAGGGCCCACCAGCTAAGCAGGGCTTGTTGCTGATGGACCCCTTCAAGTCCGGCGTTCCATTTGAGTGGGGACGTATCTCCTGTGTTGATAATCACAAAGGTAGGTTACATTATCAACACATCATTGTCAGCCTAGCCCAATAATAAATGCACCAATATGTCCATTTATTATTGGGCCACTTGTCGAGGTGCTAAGCACTTTGTATGAAAAGTACTAGGTAAGCGTGTGTATTACGCTATTTAGGTATGTATTGCTATTTATTATCATGTTCTTGTTGTTTTTCTTATTGTAAGATTTAACATATTTTCATATTCATTTATAGGTATATTTACGAGGATACTTAGTACCCAGGATTACTTAACTAATACTTTTGCTAATACTTCACTTAAACTTTTGATAAGTACTTTTTCTTAGTACTCACTAAGTAAGATATTCTTTACATATTTTTTGAAAGTGTTTTTTGATTGAGGTACTTCTTCTAATAGAAGATCTTTAGCTATTAAGTCATTCCAGAGTTTGGGTCCGATGCAAGGAAATGAGTAGAGCCTGTAATTTTTTGTTGAAAAAACAGGTTGAAAATGATGGATATTTCTTGACTGATGGATAGGGTCAGTTGAAAGATGAAGTAATCGTCTTACAGAGACTGGTAATTCCTGCATTATGTACTTATGCATGATAAGCATTATTTGAAGTTTGGCAACGTCTTTAATTTTAAGAATACTATATTTTTTAAATATTGGGGTAGCACTTTGTGGTGGGAAAATACCTTCAATTAGTCTCATGGACCTTTTTTGCAGAATTACCAGCCTTTGAAGGTGGTTTTCATAGTTGGAACCCCAAATGAAACAGCAGTAGTTGATGTAAGGAAAAATCAAAGAATAATATAATTGAATGAGCTGCTGTTTTGGGATAAAGCGTCTAGCTCTTGCAATCATTCCAATGTTTCTGCTGATAATTTTACATATGCTACTGATATGAGATGTGAATTTGAGGTCAGAGTCAATAAGGATTCCTAAATATTTCACTGTTTTCATTTCAACTACTGCTGTGTTTCTAATGTAAATGTTTAGCTTTTCAGCAGTTCTCCGTTTTGAATATACTTGGAGAAATGTTTTTGATGGGTTCACTGTGAGGTAATTTGCTTCTAGCCATTCAGATATTTTTGACAGGGCTGCATTTGTTATTTCTTGAAGTGTTTCTCTGTTTTTATGTTTGAAAAATATTGCAGTATCATCTGCATACAACATAATTTGCCCTTCAATTGGAAGATTTGCAATGTCATTTAAGTCATTTATTTGTTGAATTGAAAATTGCTATGTCATTATTACGGAGCGAGCGAAGCGAGCGTAGTCTTTCCTTAGATTAACGGAAATTTCTGAGTATGATCTCAGCAATGACTGCTGGACCTTGGGCTACTCGGCGGCTCAAGGTATGCTGACACAGCGTGCTAATGCTGCCACTCTGAAGCCAGCGGGTCGCAATCCCCTGCCACCCCCCGGTCCCACCCGGAGCGCGCCCTCGGACTCTGCTATGTCGTGCCCCAGCGCGATAACTTCGTCACTCGAGGCGATCATATCCACCCAGCTGCGAATGGAGAATGAAATTAGGGAACTTCACGCTCGTCAAGCTACCCAGGATGCTTACAAAACTCGTCTGAAACAGCTGGAACTGGAAATAACTGGTCTCCGCAGAGAATGTGCTGCTAGAGATGACACGATTGATCAGCTGAAGGTCCTTGTAGAGGGGCTGCTAGCCCGTGAGGGCCCACAGCCACGCCGGCCAGTCACCCCTGGATTACAGGTGCAGCCGGGGCGACATGACAGCGATGCGAGGTCCGCTGCTAATGATGCTACTGTTGTAACTGAAGAGGCTCACTCTGACCGCACCGCCGCCCGCGAGATTGCCGCCAACTTGGATCTGCGTGCCCTGGGTGAGGCGATCGCTGGTGCCCTGCATTGGCGGGTCGGCGATTCAGACAGTGAGCCAGAGCAGCAGAACACGCATACCGTGTCTGAGTGTAGGACAGCGCAGCCCGCGAACCACAGTCAAGCAGCAGTGCCGACTGCGGCACCGACTAGCGACACGTCTGCCGCGGCTCCAGGCGGCCCGACACGGCGACAGGGCATGGTGACCGGCTCTGGTCCCCCATCGGCTCTGATTCAGGAGCCGCCTCGTCAAGAATCTCGGAAGGAGAAGTTCATCCTGGAGGGCTTCCGTGTGGATGTTGCTGACAGTGACGTGCGGAGTCTGGTCTGGACGGTTGTTCGCAATCTCCATGATTTCCAAAGGGTGTCACGCCGCGGTCCTGCTGCCTCTGTAAGCAAGGCGTTCAAGATTGAGGTTGATGCTGAGGACACCGATCGTATATTGGACCCGTCCAGCTGGCCGACTGGCCTGGTTGTGCGCCTTTTACCTCACCCTGTGAACACTGGGCGCCGAGGACAGCGTTTTCGCCGTCCTGCGGCCCCATCTGGAAGATCACAGACGACCCGGAGTGCTGCAAAAAGAACTGAACATGGCAATGCTAACTGGCAGGCGACGGCCCCGCGCCGTTACAGTGATGTGGTCAGAGGCATTGAACACTGTGACACTGCCTGGACGGCGGCCGCCCAACGCCGGGACGAAGATGAGACCCGCCGGGAAGCAGTTACCTCACAGCGCTCCAGAGCCCCGAACAGAGACTGCACTCACGGCGTCGGTACATCTAGCGCGGTCGACGCTGTCGGCGGCGACGGAAGTAACGCCACACATGATGACGGTGGCTGGGAAGAGGAAAGGCCGCGCCGTTATGGACCATTCGTGCCAGCTAGATACCATGGACACCAAGATGACAATGCATGGGTGTCAACCTATCAGCGCCGTGATGGAGACGGACACTGGGCAACAGCCGCCTCTCACCGCCCAGGCGCCCCTAGTCGAGGCAGCGAACAGGACGCCGGCGCTCCCTGGGTTCCAGCTGCCTCCCGTCACGTCAGAGGAGGCGCCACACACGGTGGCAACGGCTGGAGGGCGACTGCTTCGCAATGTGACGGATCCGGATACCGTGGGTGGCCCTATCAGCGCGCACGAGAGGCCACCTCCTGGGAATAGCGCCCAGATGGCTACTCCTGGGGGCCATCCCTGTCCTGCTGCCACCGCTGTGAAGCATGACAGAGCGGAGTGCCGTAATTCTGTGGACGCAAAAGTAACTCTGAACATGAGCCTCACTCTGGGCACTTATAACTGCGAAGGATTTCTCGCAGGAGCGCAGTATATCGCCGACTGTCTAATACCTGAATGTGATATCTTATTTTTATGCGAAACCTGGCTAGCCCGTGCCCAGGGTGCTTATCTGGAGCATGCACTCTCCTCTCTAAGTTCCGAAGAATTTCAGGTATTTCAAGAATTCGCCATGGAACTACCACCAGGGACTGGAGATGGCAGACCCCACGGTGGCGTGGCTTTTGTTTGCCGCCGTCAAGCGGGGCGCACATTTCGCGCTGTAGAGTGTAATGATTCTCGTATCTGTGGAGTTACGATTGTGGAGCTGAGCCGTCCTCTTATAACGATAATTGGCTGCTACATGCCGTACTGGAATTCATCTGCCGTAAATTTTGAAGAGTACACAATCCTGACGGGGAAGCTTGATGCATTATTCTCTTCGCTAAGACCCTCAGCTCCAGTGGTGCTTGTAGGCGATTTTAACTGTGCTCTGCCACCACTGTCACCAGAACTGCGCCCACCGGGCTGGCACCGTCTTCGGGGTTTCTCTCCGCTGAGTCTTCTAATGCAAGACTTATTGGACGACCACGGACTGACAGTCGCCGAGTTCCGGTTCTCGCAACCAGTGGCGTACACCTATGCTCGAGCTGACGGCCAATCGCACATCGATCACATCGCTGTACCGCAATGTCTGGTGCCTCAAGTTCATGATTGTCGCATCGTAGTCCCCTGTGTGGACAACCTGAGCCCACATCTTCCGGTCCTTTGCAGCGTGGTGCTGCCGTCTGCTTCAGCTGGCACCAGTCTCGATGTCTCCAGCCCTCCACTGAATATGGGTTCCACCCATTCAGAAGTACTAGATTGGAGTTGTCCAGAAAAACTGCAGATATATTTGTCTTCTCTGGACGAGCTTATTGGTGCTTGTCAGCTCACCAACGGTGCCACCCCGGATGAGATTGACGAAGCAATTACACGATGCATACATACCGCTGCGCGAATCGCCGGATGCTCCAAGTCGCGACGTCCCCCGAAGCCCTGGTGGTCGCCTGATGTGGCAGTGGCGCGGGATCGCACTCGTTTCTGGCATCAGATATGGGTAAACTGTGGCCGTCCTACCCTCTCAGCAGTGGCACAGTGCTATCAGGCTGCAAGATCTGCTTACCGTCACGCCCGCAGACGTGCAGCAGTGACGCGGATCGAGAGCGAGGCCCACACTCTCCGACTGCTCCGCCGTGACAAAAATCTGACAGCCTTCTGGCGACGTGTGCAACAGATACGGCGTAATGGACTCAAGTCGGCCTCTGATCTATCCGCCGCCGACTTCCGCACCCACTTCCAGACTGTGCACCAAGATAGTCACAGGCAACTGACTCTGGACCAGCTCCAAATTGCTGAACATGTAGATTCTCGACTAAGGAGAATCCGTAACGATGCATCCGAAAGAACGGTTTCAGCTGGACAAGTAGCAGGCCTCATTCACCGGTTACAGCGTGGGAAGGCACCTGGTATAGACGGCATCACGGCGGAGCACCTTCTCTATGGTCAGTCGCCTTGTCTCCTGTCAGCCCTGGCGCACCTTCTCTCTGTCTGCCTGTCCACGTGTAGCGTGCCAGCTACCTTCGCTGACAGCGTTATTGTACCCGTGTTGAAGAAATCTCAATCGGACCCTAACTGCTTGGACAACTATCGACCGATTTCAATCACAACCTGCGCATCTAAGCTGCTCGAGCTGTTAGTGCTAGACGAACTGAACGCCTCATTTGAACCTCATCATCTGCAGTTTGGTTTTATCTCCAATCGGGGCACCATGCAAGCGTCTCTGTTGGCTGGAGAGACCATACAGCAGAATCGAGCCAGGGGTCTTCCTGTTTTTGTCGCAAACCTTGACGCGAGGAAATGCTTTGACCGAATATGGCATGACGGTCTGTTCTTCCGTCTGGAAGATTATCTTAGCGACCACTGCTGGTGCCTCATGGTCACCTGGTACCGCCACCTCTCTGCAAGGGTGACTTTTGGTGGCGCCACATCTGAAGCGTTCCTGGTCTGCAGGGGCACCAGACAAGGGGCCATCTTATCGCCAACCCTTGCAAACATCTTCCTCTTACCTCTTATTGAGGTCCTAGATCGCAGCGGTCGTGGAGCATATCTACACAGCCAGCACGTACCCGCTATCTGCTACGCTGACGATATTCTCCTTATATCTGCGAACGCGCGTGACCTCGGTGCAATGCTGCAGATGGTGGGAGAATTCGCGGCTACTTGGCGCCTCGACTTCGTTCACCCTGAACCGGGAAAAACCAAGAGCCATTGTATTATATTTGGACAGGAACTATTCACGAGCACACCGAGGTGGACACTGTCAGGACAGCAGCTGCAGATCCGGCAGACGACCGAGCACCTCGGTACGGTGCTTGATGACAACCTCAGCACAGACAGCCACGTGGCTCAGCGCATCAGGCGTGCTTGTGCATCATTCTATGGCCTCACACCCCTGGGCAATTTCACCAACCGCCTGACTGCTGCTGACAAAATCTTCCTCTGGAAGACAGTAGTGCTGCCGGCACTGATCTTCGGCTGTGAGACGGCTCCCCTCAGTTCCGCCGACATTGAGCGTCTAGACTCGCGACAGGCTTCGCTGATCAAGGCAGCGCTGGGTCTGCCGCGTTCTGCGCACCATACGGCTCTTTTGATTGCTGCTGGGGTGCCTCGCATCGGTGAGGTGCTGCGAGGTGATGCCCTTCGCGCATTCCGTAATGCTTTCCGCGCTGACCACCGTCTTCGCCAAGCCTACGTCACTGGACTGGCCAGACTTGCTACGTACCCCGAGCAGTTGGATGGGTCGTTTATTGGCCACGTATATAATCTGTGTGGTGGGAATTTCGCCACTATCATGCACATCGCTGCTGGGTACGTCGATCACGACATAGTCCGGGCACCACTCCAAGAAAGCGGTCTTATAGACAGTTTGAAGATGGTTTTGGCAAGCAACTGTCAGGCCTCGCGGCGCCTGTTAAGACTACTAACCTCCTGAGTTCTGATTAACTGTGTGTGTGGGTGGGTGGGGGGTGGGGGGGTATGTATCTTTTTGTCGCATGACGATGCTGAATAAACAATAATAATAATAATAATAATAATATGAGCGGCCGGCCGGCCGGCCGGCCGTGGTCACGCTTTTGCGAGGCTTATATCTCAGCAACCACTTGACCGATTTACACGCGGTAATTTTTGTGGGGTAGCTTCATTCCTTCTACCAAGTATTGGACTATTCCTGATGCATGTGGGTGACCCCTTATGCACGTGCCACGTGCAAAACGAAGAGATGTCCGTTTTGTAATTGTTGCAATATCTCAGTAACTACTTGGCCGATTGCGCTGAAAGTTGATATGTAGGTAGGCACCCACTAGGCACTGCATATCCATGTGCCAGAGTTGAGGTGCTGCTGCACGTGCGCACGTGCAGGGGTCGTTTCCAGATCTCGAGAACGGCTGGACCGATGGCGCTCAAATTTGGTACACGGCTAGGGACCAGTTAGTAGGGTGCCGTGCACAAGTCAGTTGGAACCCATTTTGCACGTGCGCACGTGCAGGGTGCCGCTTCCAGATCTCGAGAACGGCTGGGCCGATTGTGCTCAAATTTGGCACATCGCTAGAGACCCGTTAGTAAGGTGCCGTGCACAAGTCAGTTGGAGGTACCCCCTCGCAATTTCGCACGTGCAAGGCCCACCCTCTCGCTCGCTCCGTTATAGTCGCCCCAAAAGGCGTTATACTGGTTTTTATTAATTGTTAACAATATAAGTTACAGCATCTGCTAGCTGAGGGATTATGTGTTGTGATATGTTATAATGAGCCAGGCAAAAAGATTCCTGTCAAGGCAAAAATGACAATGGTTACATCACTGATCAATGTAGGTATTTCCTGGTGAGGTGATTAGATGACAATTTATGTCAGGTTTTCATCTCACCTTCAAGATGCTGACTGACAGTACCAGGGCACCAGATCTGTGAGATGGCAGTACAAGAGCTTGGAATTTGGATGTCCTGGGATCCTTCCCAAGTTCCCATTGAGGGTCAACAAGACTCCAGAAATGTATTTGTATGGATAATTCTTCTCTCAAAAGTTGACTGTTTGAAAGCAATGAGAAAGGTCACATAGGTACCTACCCAAGATAGTCAGGTTCATGGTAGTTGGTACATCACCCCATCCACTTTTCTCCATGGATACTGCATGCTAGGTTGGTGCAGGTTGGTTGGTTGGTTGATTTGGGTTTAGCACCATATCCAGTGGACTAACCGGAACTCTAATCTGTTCCAAGCGGCTAGGTAATGACACTGTCCTGTGCATTACCCGGGAAATAAACCTGGATGGCTGACTCTAGAGGCAAGAAACCTACCCCTAGACCAGAATGCTCCTCAGTCCCCACTAAACTGCATGTAGGCAGCACCCTCCGTCCGACTGATTACCGATTTACCGACAGCCGCAGCCATGCTGAACCCGGAGGATGTCCAGAAGTTCAAACTGTTCATCGCGGCGTGCGACGCCAACCCGGCGCTGCTGCACCTGCCCGAGCTGGAGTTTTTCCGCGCCTTCCTGCTGAAGCACGGTGCCAAGCTCCCCGAGAAGCCGGCGACTCCGAGCGGAGCCGGCGCCGGTACGGGCGATGGAGCCGAGGACACGGCGGCGCCAGAGCCGGAGACCGAACAGGAGCCGGAGCCGGAGCCGGAGGAGGAGCAGGAGTCGGAGGAGAGCGATCTTGAACTGGACAATACTGGAGTGATTGGTGAGTACCCCGGGTGGTTGCAGGGGAATGAATCGTAAGGTGTCACAGAGGCGAGGTTGTGTGACGTGCGTTCAGGTGTCAGTTAATGAATACACTTATTCATCCGTCAGTTACGATCAGTTTTTTTTTTTTAACTTGTTCGACCAAAGCATATGTTTTGTGTAGCGTAACGTCTGCATCGCCAGTCACAATTCCCAGTCTCACGTACGACCGACGTATCACTCGCTGCTCCTACTCCCTGTGCTCCTGTGTGACCCACCCCTTACTGACACCCCGCCCCGCCGCAGAGCCGGAGCCGGACGAACCTCAGCCGATGGGCGACACCAGCAAAGAGGTCACCGAGGCGGACATGGACGCCGCCAACGAGAAACGCTCCGAGGCGGCGGCAGCCTTCGCCGAGGGGGAGCACCAGAAGGCGGTCGACCTGTACACAGAGGCCATCGAGCTTAATCCCGGTGGGTGTCAGTTGGAGTGAGCTGAGCAGGGCAGGGGTGGTTGTGGTGTGTATGGTAGGATTTTATGAGTGTTTGAGTTCAAAGGGCGTCGCTGCGGTGTGAGTATCTAGTGAGCTCTGGTCGGCGCGCCCTAAAAATCCAATTAGCTTTTGAGCTGTGGGTAAAACTCCGAGGCAGCCTGTGAATGTCAAGATGGCTGGTGTGTACCATTGGTTCTTATGATCAGGACTAACTCTTGATTTGATAGCTTAAATGCCCGCGTTTACCCCGCGTTTGGAGTCTCTCGGAGGACGAAGATTCTACGCCGTCCGGCCAATCCCGTTCAAGGTTAGCGGGAACTTGGCTGCAGTTAGGGAACGGGATTGGCCGGACGACGTAGGATCTTCGTCGTCCGAGAGTCCGAACGCTGGATTAAACTAAGGTCTTGAATAGGAAGAGTAACAGCTTTTTGACACTAATATTTGCAACCATTCTGTCATGTCTGACGTTTTGTTCTTGGCCTTGCAGGATCCGCACTGTTTCACGCCAAGCGTGCTGCCTGCTACCTGAAAATAAAGAAGCCTCTGGCGGCGATGCGAGACTGCGACAAAGCCATCAGCATCAACCCCGATTCGGCGGCCGCCTACAAGTTCAGAGGACGTGCCAACCGGTGAGTGTGGCTGGGATCTCCGCGCCGCGCTGCACCGCGCCAGGGTGGCCGAGTGGTTAAGGCGCCAGACTTAAGTTCTGGTACTCGTTGGAGTGCGTGGGTTCGAACCCCACTCCTGGCAACCGGTTTATAGCCATGGTTCTGGATTGCACAGACTAGTTTGAACGGTACACTTTCCTAGCCAGTGACCCTGGGGTGCTGCGTCTGCTGCTGTGGATGGGGTCGTGGTGCGTGCAAGCCGTAACATACGGTGAACGGTCCCTCTCGCGTGCCCAGCGTTCTGTGCCAAGTCTATTTTCAGTGTGACAGTGACTTGGCAAGTTCCGTGTGATGTGCGTTGTAACTTTCGGTGTCTTTTCTTTTTGTGGTTTTAGAATAGGTTAAACCCTGGCTGAATGTCCACATTGCAAGCACATATGTAACACCACCCATTGTCAACCGGTAATGTCTTGTAATGGGCCTTCGTCATGGCATATAGCTAGCCTTTGTATGTTGTCTGGTGGTCTGTGTGCAACAAACCCGCCCTGCCGACAACCCCCTCGTGCGTTAGTGTAAGCGCCATAACCGTACCGCAGTCCTGACCACCGCTGTCCCGTCTCCGTCAGCCTGCTGGGCCGCTGGGAGGAGGCTGCCAAGGACCTGCGCACCGCCTGCAAGCTGGACTTTGACGAGCAGGCCGACGAATGGCTGCGGGAAGTGACGCCCAACGTGAGTAACGAGACTGGGATCCTGCAGGAGCTGCTCGACTCGTTCATCTCGCTCCTGATGTAGCCGCTGCCGCCCTCCTTCGCTTCCAATTAACCGCTGTCGCCGTCCTTGACTGGTCGCTGGCCGTGGTGTCTGTCGCTCGCTGTCCGCCGAGATTGAGACTGAGGCGGGGAGCTCACGGGATGGAGTGTTCTCGAACGGATAGGGTAGGGCTCTGCTGGATTGAGGCCGAGCGGTTGGGGGGGGGGGGGGCTGCAGGACGGCACGCTGGTGGATTGAGGCCGAGCACTGGGGGCGCTGGTGTGTGAGGTTCCGTTCCTATAGGGGCGCTGTTGAGGCGCCGGGACCGGGTCAGAATGGAACGGCGAGGCGTTCCCGGCTAGCCGCGGTGGAGGGACGGACGGCTGGTGGGCTATCACGGATGGTTACCTATGTGATTTATTGGTCTTCAGTTTGGCCACGAATTGTCACCATATTACTTAATCGTAGTACCATCGCTTCCTACACCCGATTATGGTAACAGCCGAGGACTCAGGCTTTGGTGAGCGGAACGGTCCGGGCGGCGGGCTGGTGAACTTCCCTCTGGTGGGCACATCCGAGACCGCTTTATTACGGTCGAGTGATGGTCCAGCCGGTTGTCTAGTCATTACGACTGATCAGTCAACCCCAGTCGTTTACAATCTCGGTCGGTTTCAACTGAACGGCAAGGTCAGTTTCTTACATGGGCATCGTTTTTATATGGGCATGGCTAGGTTCGACACATTGCCATCAAAAGTATGGTCTTATAGCATAAATCGTCATATGGATAGGTGTCACACATTTTCATCCTTTTGAAATATCAATTTAAGATTATTTTATTCATATCCATCGGCATTCAGCGCCATTTACGCTGAATGCCATGATTCATTAAGCATGCATTCTAAGATATCGCAAATATTGCGTTTTTGCCAACAATGGCCAACATTATCGGCGCTGCCTTGCGGTTCCCTGTATTTAGATTTCCTTAGACCCGCACAAAGAATATTTTGTCGTCTTTCAGTGGTATGATGTTGAAGTCTTCTTTTTATATCACGTACGTAGTGTGGTGCCAACGGTGTGTTCATTGTGTATGTAGAAATACCTGGAGTTAATTTGTCGTCACAAGCTGTCGATATTGACACTGTTGCTTCTTTCCTGTGATGCTTCAAATGCTTCTCTATTGACTTCTTCTCCATTACATAGAATTTTTCAGGAAAATGCGACCGCAAAATGTCAAGTACAATGTAAACTTTTTGTGATTCGAGAGCATACGTTTCTTTTGAAAGTCCCTTGGACAATTTCGTCTGTAAGGTCTTGGCAATAAGCAACCAAGTGTGTTGCGTTTGTACTTCGGTGACACCGCTTGTATTTACGTAGGGACTCATCTACTCATCGTTATAGAAATATTGAATCTGCATTGTAATCAGTCCATATCAAGTGTGAAGACTGATTGTGTTTGTCATTGACGTATGTTCACGTGTTCTCATGAAATATATAATTGTTCGGATTGAAAGAATTCATTTAAAACCAAGGCAATTAATTTATTGCTGGACAGGACTACCAACAATTATCACATTTAACTGTCCTAAAGGGAGTTTAGCACAATTTACAAAGCTATTATATGTGATCAACATGGTGAACGTTCACTGTCTTTCGCTTCTGTAATGCTTAGTTTTGGGCGCGCTGGGTGTTAGAGGTATTTGTATTTGGCGACCAACATTTCCCAGTCTCTGCTCGCGTTCGTTTATGATTGACCGAATTTCGGAAGCGGTCTGCGAATACCTCTCGCATCTCCTGCCTCGGGGTACTACCGTGGCACTCGGTGAGTGCCGCCCCTCCACACTCGACGCGTTGTCCGCGCGACTGGCGCGCGCTGCTGTCCGTCCGGACCCTCTCTGTCGCCGCGGCTTTGTGGCGGGGTAGGGACGTTGCACTCACTCCTCGCGCAGCACTCGCGCCGCGGTCTCTCGCGCTCAGGCGGACAATTGAGCTACATGAAAGAACAGTGTGTCCTAAACATACATCAGGCCACTGGCGCCGCGGGACGCCGGACGCGCCGCGACGCGCACCTCTCAGTCGAGGGGCTCGGTCGGACGCTGGCTCGCTCTCTCACAGTCAGTCACACGGAGGGTGCGCCGGTGCGCGGGGACGGGGGCGGGCCGGGCCCGGTCATCAGACGTGTCTCCAGTTGGGTGGCCGCGGGCCGGCAGGCGCTGCGACCGGCGGCAGTGCTGTCTCTCTCCCTGGGCGCCCCCGGCTCGTGTGCGGCGCGCTCCCTGCGGGTCGGTCGGGAATGTCTCTCGCCCGGCGGCACCGGTCACTCGGCGGCGCGCCCGCCGCGGTCGTCGCCACTGCAGGCGGCGCGCGCTCGCTCGTCTCTCTGGGCGCGGGGCCGGCACCTCGGCTGCGGGGACGCCGGGCCGGCGCTGGGTGCGGGCGGGGTGACGGGCGGCTCCGCGCGCCGCTCAGCCCTGGCGGCGCTGGCCCCGGTCCACCATCTTGCGGTACTTGCCGAGCAGCTCAGGCAGGTCGTAGCTGATGGCAATGTCCAGCTTGTCGAGCGGGCAGCCCTTGAAGTAGGTGCAGGTGGAGGCCAGCGTGGGGAAGTCGTACAGCGGGTGCAGCTGCCGGGCCGATGCGGAGAAGCAGAACAGAACGGTCAGAAAGAACGCATAGAAACAAAGGTCCGCAGTACGGTATCCAAGTTGTGTTGCCGAAGCACAGCTGCTGATCTGTATCAATCATGAACATCAATGTCAGATCTGAAGCAAGAAAGACTTAACAAAACCATCACCGTCGTGGCTTATGGGTATCACATCTGACTCGAGGGCTACGTTAACTGACCGTGAAGAAGTCCTCGTAGATCTCCGGATCGGGCAGGTCGTAGCGGGAGATGTTGGTGACCCGGCTGATGCCCTCGTAGATGTGGTACTTGTGCGGGTTGGAGACGACGTCCTCAGCCAGCTTCTTCTTGTTGCTGAGGAACGTCTGCTGGTTGAGGAAGGTGGTCACGTAGCAGTCCACCATGCGCGCATGGTTGCGTACCCGCACCTGCCGGAAAGGGAGAAGTTGGTCACTGGTCAGCGTGTGTTTTCCGAAAAGGTCAGGAGGCCAGTGGTTGTACCCTGTTCATTCTGGTTGGTGTAAAACAAAGCACGATTAATGATAATTTATCTCGAAGAATTCACACCTGCGCGGTCTGTCAGCAATGGTAATTGCATCGAGATAGCACGAAGAACAGATCAGTCCGTCGCGAGCGCGTTTGAACTCACGGCGTGCCGTCGCGCCAGTCCGATCCTGTTCTCCACGCGGCTGGAGAGTGAGCGCGCGATGTCGGTGAGGATGGCGTCCTCCTGGCTGCGGAACAGGTCGACGGGCGCTCCGTCGCGGTAGGGCGCCTGCACGAAGCTGCCCGAGTAGATGGGCGGCGGCGTGGTGCTGCCGATGAGCGGGCTCAGTGACCAGATCAGACTGCCCTGGACGGAGAGCAGCCGGTCCGCCGGCAGCTGGTCGGCCTTGTTCAGGATGATGCGCACCTGGCGGAGAGTCGAGGGAATTGTCAGGTGGACGTTCATTGATGAGCGTGCTTGATGTCGAGAAGACTGACCACGAAAAAGAGGCCAAGCTTCACTGTCGTTACAATCATCAACGTCAGCAATCTATGACGGAAAGTCCTTTTCGAATAGAGTCCCCGTTGGAGCTGCTAAAGACAATGGTCTGGACCGTTTCGATGCTAAATAGCTCTTTTAACCAGATTCAGCTCATTTTAAACATATTTGTTTAGGTTTATGGCATCTAGTAACTGAGCTTCCACTTGTGAAAATCGTTCGTACCTGATTCTCGCGACCCTTGAGCTGGTCGAGCAGGCTCTCCATCTCGACGCCGATGTCGAGGTGGTGCGGATCGAAGACGACGAAGATGATGTCGGCGCGGTCGATGAACCACTGGCAGACGTCGTTGAAGGGGTAGATGCGGCCGTACTGGCGGCCCTCCATGATGCCCGGCACGTCCACCACGCTCACCTGGTGACGCACGCGGAAAACAACGACATGGGTGCGCGCGTACGGACGGAGAGCGGTGCCGGCCAGACGCCGCGCAGCTGAAATTCTCGAGAGAATTATTCATGCGGGAAACATTTGGGTGCGGTTTGAGCGTAGTGGTCAGTGATGGTACGTGACATTCGCTAATCGAAATCGTGTAGCGCAGCTGATCTCACGAATCTCAGCAAGTAGTTATCCGACTTACCCGATTTCCCCGAAGTCCATTGATTTTCGGGCTGATGGAAGGCTGTGCAGTGGACAGCTTATTGAACCAGATATTGTCCCTTTTTGACTTGCAACTCTGGAAGACATGGCAAGAACTATACTTACTGAGCTCTGTGATGAACGTCTCTCTCGGTTTTCTCTTCTTAATGACTTGGAGCCGGCCGATGGCACAGGCGGCACCTGCCTAACAAGCTACTGGAGAAGTTTGTGCAGAACCTTCCTCAGCAACCAGTTAGGCGGATGACGTCTGTTCGCCGGCTGCTGGGTAGCGTAGGCAACTTGCAGATCTTGTGTCGTAGTTTAGGTGATAAGGCACCATGACCACAATCTTGGACGATCTTCAGGCGGTTCACTTCGTGGGTAATCCATTTACTCGCGCTGAGACCCTTAGCTCATCGCCGTACCTGACCATTTTTGTTGATTCGACGATATCAAAGAGTTGCATGCTTGGTGATGCCTACCATCGCGCCACTAAGTCTTTTATTTATTTGGCAAAGTGCAACTGCATAACGACCACGTGACTCCGGTGTTTCATTGTGTTCTAGCGGATTCTTATTGACGTGCTACATAGTGAAGTTTTTGATCGCTGTCCTTACCTTTTCCAAGGCCAGTTTTCATTTTCGTACCTCTTCGATGGTCTGATCCCTATAGCCCTACCTTTTCGAGGAGCCGGTTCTTGAGCTGTCTGCCGGAGAGCCGCTCAAGGAAGGCCTCGCCGAACTTCTGCAGTCCGGCGAACTCCCAGTGCGAGGTGACCTGAGCGCCGTCCTGGCGGGCGTCCTGCTCGCCGTACGTCAGAATACGGAACTGACCGCTGCCTGCCGGGTCAGCGAGTGGCTGCGTCAGTCTTTGAAATTTGTATTTCAAAATGGGGAACATAAAATTTATGGGTACAGTTTGCTGATGTAAGTAATAGTATCGTCTAAGCCGGTGATGTCAACAGCTCTACTCCGCATGAACTTCCTCGATGCGCCGATTGTGTGTGTAACTGTAGCACGTCCTTCATTTACGGCGGTAGCGATCTTCCTCGGTGTCTCACCTGGCATGGCGGTGGTGCGCGTGGCGTCGGTACCCAGCAGGTAGTTGATCATGGTCGACTTGCCGCTGTTCAGCTGGCCCAGGAACAGAATCACCGGCTTGGCGAAGATCTCAGCGTCTGTGGAAAGACAGCATGTCAGACAAAAACAGAGGCGAGGAAACCTAAACCAAGAGACAAGCATGTTCGAAGGACTTCGTCAATCGTTGCACAAGTCACGTCATTGCTAGTAGCTACCATCAGTATACTGTATTGCTCCATTTCTAAGCATCCTTGAGTGTGGGATGAACCCACCTGAGAGTGTGCGCGTGCTGATGGAGCTGTACTTGAACGTCTCCTCCAGCGGTTTGATGGCCGTGTCGGCCAGTCGCTTCAGCTCACGCAGCGCGTAGTTGGTCGCGTCCTCCACGGGCCGGCTGAAGGGGGCGTGCAGGCCGAGCAGCTCCTCCACCTCCAGACGGGGACGGGCCGTCGGCTCCGGCGCGGCGGGAGCGGGACTCTGAGCGGGAGCAGGCGCGGGAGCGGGAGCCGGGGCTGGAGCAGGAGCAGGTGCAGGAGCCGGGGCGGGAGCTGGCACAGGAGCCGGTGTCGGGGCGGGAGTTGGAGCTGGAGTCGGAGCTGGAGTCGGAGCTGGAGTCGGAGCCGGAGTCGGAGCCGGAGTCGGAGCCGGTGTGGGGGCAGGAGTTGGAGCTGGAGTGGGCGCAGGAGTCGGGGCTGGAGTCGGAGCAGGGGTGGGAGCCGGCGCTGGTGCAGGAGCCGGTGCTGGTGCCGGTGCAGGAGCCGGCGCAGGAGCGGCGGCGGGGGCGGGGGCCGGCGCTTCTTCGACGGGAGCAGGTGGCGCCGCCTTCTCCACTTCGGGTTCTGAAAGCCGGCGCGGAGGGCGTCAGTTTGGTTTGGCCGCGGCCCATCTGTCGGTCGGCACCGCGTCAGCGCGCCGCGCCGAGACCGGCCGACAGCTCCGACCGCCGCCGATCCACTATTATGATAGCGGAGCCGGCCAATAGTGCTGTGGACGCCGGCCAAGCCGCGATTACCCGATCAGACCCACCTGGAGCGGCCGGGTCACCGGGCGGCGACTGGTCGACGGGCGCGGCGGCCGGCTCCTCGCTGACGGTCGGCGCGGGCTCCTCTGAAAGCGGAGCTGTCAGCGATGCGCACCAGCCAGGCCAAGCAAAGCAGTGCAAGCGGTAAGGTTCAAATCGGGGAAAACACTGCGTGAAATGCGTTTGATTAGCAAGCTGTCGAATGCTGTTACGGATCATTGGGCTGTTCAAACACCAGGTTGAGCGATGTTGGCTGGGGCCGAACATGGTGACTGTTGCTGTGTGATCTCGGTCAGGGATGTCAGTCTACATGTCGGTACGCGTCATTGCTGCGTGCTACGACCTTGGTCTGGGAACGGTCTGGTGTCATTAGCGTGCGGGCAGGTGGCTTGGCAACACTTGCAGGAAGGGACGGGGGGAGGGGGCTTCAGTAAAATGAACTAGCGTGAGGTTTGGCTAGAGATGGCACGTGCGGAGCTTGTGAACTTTCGGCGGATAAGTATCCCATGGGTGATTGGCGAATTTGAGTTCGGCAGCCTTGATGTGCTACATTCGACCTGTGATATTGTTATGATTGTAGTACTCAAATGGCCATGCATGTTTTTTTGTGGGATGAATGCGCACGAATGTAAGCAAATTTCAAAATATCAAAATTAGTTAGCTCTTAATTTTCATTGAGCTTATAGCGAAAAAAAACGTATGATTGGACTCAGCCTAGACACCAGGGGCTTTGTTTGGTATCAGCTCGGAGTTAGTGGATTGTGTCACTATCCAGTCATTTACCCGGTGCCGGTGGCGGCGGCGGCTGCTGCTGCGGCTGCGGCGCGGCGGCCGGCTCGGGGCGTTCGGCGGTGTCGGCGGCGGCGATCGGCTCGGGAGACTCTGTAACAGGCCGGCCCGTGTCGTGTCGGTGCCACAGACCCGAGAGTCTCACACCGTGAGTCAGCGCTGCCCGGTCCCTCCCCGCCCAGACCCGCTATCCGGCTGTGAACGGAGCGGCTCGGACGTTCAAAGCCGCCGCTGATCAACCTGTATATCGTTTGAGCCGCGGCTGGATGTCAGTGTTGACGTTTGCTATCGGATTGACTAGAACAGAGTGTCAGTGAAACGGTTGGATTTATTTGACTAGCGAAGCCCCAGTGTCAGTTTTATGGCCTCGATCGGCCGGCTGCAGCCTGTTCCTGTGACGCGGCGGCGAGTGCGTAAACATACCGTGCTCGGTTTCGTCCTCTCGCGAGTCGCCGTCCTCCTGATCGGGCGCCGGCGCGTCTGAGTCCGCAGGCTCTCCCGCCTCTTCGTCGTCGTCATCATCGTCATCGTCATCATCGTCGTCGTCGTCGCTGTCCTCCCCGTCGCTTTCGTCGTCACTGTCGTCTCCGTCGTCGTCGGCAGCGGGTGCCGTGTTCTGGTCCTGAGTGACCGGCTCTGCCGTCTCGTCTGAAACGTCCCTCTCAGTCTCCTGAGCGGGCGCAGCTTCCGTAGCAGAGTCCTCAGTCTCGTCAGCTTCATCAGCTTCGTCAGCGTCTACGTCTGCCTCGTCATCAGCGTCAGAGTCGTCGGCGCTATCGTCGTCTATGTCTGCGTCATCGTCGCTCTCGACGCTGTCGTCGTCTTCGGTTTCGACGGTGACGTCGGCATCGCTGATCCCGGCGGCGTCGGCGGCGGGTGCGGGGTCGGGCCGGTCGCTCTCCGCCGACTCCGCTCCGCCTACCGCTACGCACATGCGGAGGAGGAGGTGCGGAACGCCCGTCAGTGTCGGCGTGCGGGGTCACTGCATCAACGGGCGCACCGTGTGGCCCGTCACCCACTAGCCAGGCAGCGGGGCGGGGGCAGGCAACAGGCCGGAACTAGTGAGAATGACTGAATGGCGACTAATAGTCATAGAGGAGGTAAGACCTAGTGGTGCTTCTTAAGTGAATTTGAAATATGCATTCGGTTTTCATTTGTATTTTTATCCTCATTCGATGTGTTTAGAAATGATAGTCGAGCATTTCACGTGTTCGATGATATTCACAATGCAGTTCTCAACACGATCCGGATAAAAGTGATGTTAATGAATATTATGGCAAAAAGACTGCATATAAAAATGTACAGCGGGATAGGTCTAGTGGGGTGGATGGTTAAGGTGACCTCCATCGGCCGTGCTTTTATCGGGTAGTTGGCGTGCCGCAAGCTGCACCAATCGTTCGAACTACGTGTGCAGGAAGCCGGGTGTGAGGCTGCTATGGCTGGCGTGCGGGGCTACGTCTGCGGGTTAGCCGGGCGGGCGCGAACACTTACCGTAGCGACTGGGCTGTTCCCCGCGGGCCAGTGCCTCCTTGTAGCGGCGCAGGTCGGCCTCACGCGCGGCGATGGCTTCGTTGCGCTCCTTCATGTAGCGGCTCTCGGCGAACAGCTCGTCGATGATGCGCCGGAGGATGGAGCGGCGCGGCCCGCCGGCCGCCGGCTGGTCGTCGGAGGGCTCCACCAGCTCGTCGAGCGCCGACTGAGGCAGATCTCCGCGCTCCACCTTGGTCCGGATGAGATCGCGGTGGCGCTCGAAGATGGCCTTCCGTCGGATCGCCATCTGGTGACGCTCGGGGAAGAGGAGCTGCCAGAGACCGCGCCGTGGTCCGGTTTCGGCTTTACCGTCACCGACCGCATCATCCAGACCGGGCAGCTCGTCCAGAGCCGACTGCGGCAGGTCGCCGCGTTCGACCTTGGTGCGGATGAGGTCACGGTGCCGCTCGGCCAGCGCCTGCCGGCGGAGGGCCAACTGGCGCCGCTCCGGGAAGATGAGCTGGAAGAGGCCGCCGCTGCCCTCCGAGCCCGGCAGCGCCGCCTGCGGCCGCGCCAGCCGCTCGTCGTGCAGCGCCGAGGCCGGCAGCTCGCCTCGCTCCACCTTGACTCGCACCAGGTCACGATCGCGGGCGGCGATCGCTGCGTCACGCATCTGCATGTAGTGCACCTCGGCGAAGAGGAGGTCGTACAGCCAGCTGCCCGAGGAGGGGACCTCCATGGCGGCAGCAGAGGCGCTCCAGGCAGCGGCGGCGGCGGGCGCGGCCGCGGGCTCGACCGGCCGGGACTGCAGCTCGGCCGGAACCTCCGGCAGCGCAGCCGGGGCCGGCGCCGGCGCGGGAGCGTCTGCTGAAAGATGGAAACGATCCAGTCAGTCACAAACTAACGGCGCCGTGGGACTATGGCAAATGAGATTCTCTGAGCTTATTTATGTTACCATCAGCCATTATTCGTGTGCATTCGAACCTCCCACGTTCCACTCTCTACAATCTTTCAGACATCCAGCGGCTCGCACCCTTCCCCCTCTCCGACCTTCTCGTCCACTCACCGACTAGCTCTCCGCGCTCCAGTTTGACCCGGCGGAGGTCAGCCTCGCGGGCGGCGATGGCGGCGTTCCGCTCCTGCCAGTAGCGCGATTCGGCAAACAGCTCCGACCAGAGCCGGCCGAGCAGCGACTTCTGGCTGGCCTGGCCGCCGGAGAGGGACGGCAGCGGCTGGTCGAGCGCCGACGCCGGCAGCTCTCCCCTCTCCACCTGCGCGGGTATTGTGAGAGAGGTCAGATCATGTCGGTAAAGATTGCTGTGTCGCAAATAATTACGGCAGTTGAGCATGTCAAACTATGGTTGCTTTGATTATTCTTTCTTTTAAATGTCTTGCGCAATTGGTTGATAAACCCACCCGACGGAATGTCATGCGCTTATCCATCAAATTTTGAAAAAGTCACAAAAAGCAACTTTCTGAATTAATAGCGCAGAAAAGTTACAAAGATATTTCGTGAATTTGCATTTCTTCGAGCGTCGCCAAAAACTGTCAGGGCAATGTTTGAATTACACGTTCCAATATCCCATGACATCCGTGACTGACCGACATCCGATGATCCACCCAACTAACCTTGAGCCGGACGAGGTCACGGTGTCGGGCGGCGATGGCGATGTCACGCTGGCGCATGTAGCGTGACTCCGCGAAGAGCAGGTCGGAGAGCCAGCCGAGTGGGCCGGCGGCTGCCGGCTCGGAGGAGGCGGCGGCGCCGGCCGCGCGCGCCTCGCACTCCTCCCGCTCGCGCTTGATGTAGGGCTGACATTCCTCTCGGCTCGGCTCCGGCCCGGCTGCGGGAATGGGGACACGGGGTCATTGGGTCAGTCGGGTCAGTGGGGTGGTTAGCTGGTTTCTGAATTGCTTGCTTTTTCAAGTCTAACAGCTAGCAATTTGTCCCTGTTTTGTCTTATTTAAAGTTGGTTGACTTGACCGGCGATCCATGTCAGGTTGTTTTAACGTTCCCTTAAATCAATGCAATGCTATGAACGGGTTTCGTTTTCTTTGCGCTTACACCAAGGCCCGTCATTTGTCGGGTTGACTCGCAGGTGTTTTAGAGACCGGCTTCGCCTAGGGTAATAGTGGCCCATCACTGAGCTGTCTCGTCCCAGCACCGTAGACAAAGCCGGTTGGCCGGCACCGCTAGTGATCCGTCTCAGTCGCCGAGTGGCTCCTCAAGGCGTCAGACGCGGATTCTGTTGAGTTTCAAACTCGCCCATCGAAGAATCGCCCTCAAACTTCTTCGAATGCCAACCTGCGCTACGGATTGGTGTTGACGACAGGCCGTGCGGCGGTATGCTATGGCTTCTGTTCGATCTCAGTTTGTTGGCAGCCTCAGTTGTGAAGTTCAGTGAGAGTAATGCCGGATTCCTTGCTAGATCAAAGGTGTTTAGACCGTGCGCTAAATTCCGGTCAAATCGCCCGGTTTTCTGACGAAGACTGACTGGCCGGGTTTTGGCAGTGTGTCTGGGGCGCGGCCCGCCGGGGTTCCGGTGCCGCTGAGGACCGGCCGGCGGACCGTCTGCGGGTGACAGCACCGGGAGGAACCCTCCCTGCGCCCCACCGGGCCGCTCACTGGCCGGCGGCCAGGACCGTCACCTGGCACCGGCGGCCCGTCCGAACACATTACTCTCGGTTTGTCATCCGTCCGCCGACGGTGTTGTATTTATACCGCGCCGGCCGCGACTCTGACCTGCTGTCGCTCGGTTACCGGCCGACCAGACGGCGGCGATGGTCGAATGCGAACCACCGTGACCCAGAGACGACACGGCGAAGACGAGCGACGTGCGGTCGCCGACCTTGACCAGCGCTCTGCACCATTTACGTCAAACGGTGCGCACTGTTACCGCCGCTATGTTGTCACCCGGGCGACGACAGCGACGGCTACGCGCTGAGATTTGCCTGCGGGGTAGACTGTACCGCAATACACTCGTGTCGTGCGGGACAGCCTACATAGCTGCCGCTGCCGCCTCGGTCTCAGACCCGCGTCGGACAGATTGGGAATGGGTTTTGGACGCTTACCAACCGGAGACAGATAAGAGGATGAGTTGGCAGTTAGAATGATATTTGCTTCAAATTGTGATGATTTTATGTTTTTATATTTGTTGTTTCTCTATGTATTTTATTGGTCAGAATGTCATATTCGGCCCAATTTAGATACTCGTCCCAATGACCGTAGCCCTGTTCGAAATGTCCTGCCGACCTCAGTTTCCGGCCTACAGTGACTCTCCTGGACTGTCGTAAACAAACAGCGGACGGTCATAATGATGCCAGAAATCATTCAGCACTGATGTATACACACACCACATGATATGCACATAAATAAGCAGTAAACACAAACACTCTTCGAAGTCTGGCAATTACATACGCCGATTGGAAATCGTTTTTGTTCTTCGCTGACTGTAATTCAGGTGTTGTGTGGAAGCTCCTGAAGTTTTTTTTTTTATAAACGAGGATCTTCGTTTTATTCTCCTTGTTTTGGAATATGATACCGCGATGCATTGAACAAGTCCTTATCTAAGAAAAGCTGAACTGATCAGTGATCACCATATTGGTATTCGTAACACATTTTGTTACAAGAGATTCCGCGTTCAAACTGAAGCGCCTAAAGGATTTCACGCCATTCGCACTGTCCTCTCTGGTTGTCTCTTGTGCTCCAAGTTTGGCACCTGTGGCGGCCGGTCGCGGTGGGGCGCGCTCGATCGCCGCTGGCAGAGCGACAGGTCGCCGGTGAGGGGCGTCTGGCGCCGGCCGGTGCCGTGGCTGTCGAGGCTAATTGGTACAGCGGCCGGCCGGCGGCATACAGACCCCTCCCGGGCTGCGGCATTCTGCCCGGCGAACGACAGACCGACGGGCTGGCTGCGCCGACCGCCAGCCGCCGCCGCCGCCGCCGCCGCCACTCCGCTGTTGTCTGCTCTGGCCTCTGGCGAACCCTCTCACCAGGGGCGGATCCAGAAAATCTCCAAGGGAGGGGCCATTAGAAACCAGGAGGCCCCCCCCCCCATAATCCCACCTGTTGGAGGCCCCATCTTCCCACTTGTTGGGCCCCCCCAAAAAAAAAAAACTGCGTCTATTGAGCTTATCTAGCTGTTCAGGCAACATCTCAACATCTGTGCAGGCTTGGAGGCCCTCTGTGCAGGTTAGGAGGCCCTGTAAAAGTGGTCATCTCTGTGAGTATAAGAGACCTCCAAGTTATGAAAAGCTTTACCAATCTTCTAACAAAGAAGTCTTCTCAGCTAGTCTTCTAAGAAATAACTAAGTGGGTAGGTTAAAAAAAAAAACTCATCGGATTTCGGCCACTTTATTTTCAGGAGGCCCCCTTTTCAGCTTTTTAACTTTTTAACTTTTTATTTTATTTTTGAAAAAAAATCGGCCAAGGGGGGGCCATGGCCCCCATGGCCCCCCCCCCCTTGTATCCGCGCCTGCCTCTCACCGGCCGTCATCCCGCCGCCGTCGGCTGTCTGTGCGAAGGCCGGCGTCATCCGGCCAGCTCCGGACGCGTCGTAAAAGCCGCTTGATGCCGCCATGAAGTCGTCCGGCGCGCGGCGCCTGCCCGGCCACTGAGCGGAGGCGTTTTATGTGGTGGTTTTGGACGGCGGGCTGCTGTCTGCTGTCGCTCTCCGCATCTTCACTTATCTCCCATCCTGTTTTTCAGTATTTAATTAATGTGGCGATATTTTAGTCTGTCTGGCGGCCTGCCCGCGCCGGTGGATTCCGCGGCACGTCGGTCAGCGCGGCCCACTGAGCCCGGAGGCGGGCCGGGCGCGGCGAGTGGGCGGGTCCGCCGCGTCCACCGGTGTCTGATCTGGACGTCTCTGCGTTGCAGACGGCTGCGGGCCCGGCGCCGGCGGCGGTGGCGGGCCCGGCAGTGTGCCCCGTGCCTCTGACGGAGCACTCGGAGACTCCGACCTCCGAGATTGTCTTGCTGGAGGTGGATCCGCCTCCTCCGCCGCCGCCGGAGCCGGAGCCGGAGCCGGAGCCCGGGCCGGAGCCGCTCGACGGACAGTACCGGTGTTCTGAATGCGGCAAGACTTACTCACGAGCTCATTATTTCGTGCGTCACGTGCGCTCGAGGCACGGCCGGGTGGTGTCGATGGCGCCGCCGTGCTGCCCCGTCTGCCAGCGTGTCTTCTCGTCTCGCCAGGCGCTGGAAACCCACTGGCGCATCCATAAGGGCGAACTACCGTTCGCGTGTGAGGTCTGCGGCCGCCGGTTCCGGCAGAGCCGTCATCGGGACGATCACGCGCGCACGCACACCGGCGAGCGGCCGTACGCGTGCCAGCAGTGCAGCTGCACGTTCGCGCACGCGCAGACGCTGGCGCAGCACCAGCGGATGCACGCGGGAGTGCGACGTCACGCCTGCCCGTCCTGCCCGCGGCGCTACGGCCGCGCCGACAGACTGCGGGAACATCAGCTCAAAGTGCACGGCGTGCCCGGTCAGCCGCGGCAGGTGACGCCGCCGCGAAGGACGCGACAGCGGACTCGGCGGGCTGCCGAGGCTCCCGGGACTCAATCGCAGGAACCTGAAGCGCCGCTAGACTATCTTCAGTTACCTGAACTAGAGACTGAGGGAGAGGTGCCTCCCCCGGCGGCGCTGGCGGAGCGAGAGGCGCAGCACGCAGACTCCCTGGCTCTAGCGGCAGCGCACGACGCCCTGTCACTGCTGGAGTCGCCCGAATCAGACTCGGCTCGCTTCATCGACTCGCAGCCCACAGATAACATGCTGCTGATGCCCGCCCCCGGGGCGTCGTCTGCCCCACTGCTGGGTTCTGGGGACGGATTACCACTAGCTGAACCGAGCGGGACCGAGGGAGAGCTGAGACTGACTGGTGAGATGGCAGAACCAGAGACATTAACCCTGCTTGGGTCGCGCGGTGATGAGGTGGTCGCGCTGGATGTGGTGTCTGAGACTGGTGACGAACAGCACCAGCACCAGGGGCAGCGATCCGTGATGGTGCAGATCTCGGACGGGATGATCTCGTGGTGAACTAATATGATCTCATGGGCAGACTAAGGTGATCTTGTGGGCAGACTGAGCAGAGCTTGTACCGTCTGTTCAGACGGGTGACATCTGTCCTCGGCGGTGACAACTGGCGCCTGTCACTCCTGTCAGAACATTGTTACCCAGTGGCCCCCAGGGATGAATCGTCTTTCATTTTGTGTGTTCTTTGGATATATCTGAGTGGTTGACTACATTTTGAAATCTTTTTGCTGGGGAGGTGTTTCAGTGTCGTTATTGTTGCTGAGTCGATTGCTACTATTTAAAAGGTTGTTGCCAAAACTTCTCCGAATAAACGCTAAAGATATTATGCACTCAATTTTCACTGTGTAACCCCAAAGTACCTATTCTCACACCATATAAACGACCAGTTAACCTGCATCCTCCGCCACGGCAACACCTGCGCTCCTTTCTACCGCTGTGTGCATCGCCGGCTCCTTTCCAGTCCATTCTGCGGCCTGACCTCTGAGAGGCGGCGCCGTGGACCGGGAAACGCGGGAAAGAGCCGTCCCACACCGGGGGACAGCCGCCCCTGACCGGGACAGCCGCCCCAGAGCAGGGACAGCCGCCGCCCGCGGCCATTCTGGTGCCGTCTGCTGGCAGCGGCACCCGGCCACCGCCGCCAGCCGTCAGCCGCCGCCGCCGGGGCGGCTATTTTGCCGTCTGTCACCGACTCGGGTCTGATCGGCCGACCTCGCCAGGGACGCCGCGGCCCGTCTCGCTGCGGTGAGATAGGACGCAGCTGCGGGCCGTGGCGGCTGTCCCTGGCGAGGCTGGCGGCGGTGTGCGTGTGCGTATCGGTACCGTCCCGCTGCCAGCTGTCACACTGTGCCGTCCGCTGGGCGCTATCCGCATCCATCTCAGCGGCGGCGCTGAGGTTCACCGAGCAGCGTTGGCGTACCCTCTGATCGCCGGCGAGGACCCGGGGCCCTGCTGTGACCTAGCAACCACCTCGGGTGGACGGAATACCACCTGGGATGAACGGCGTGGCGCGTCCTGACGTCCGCCCGCTGGCACGGACTGGTCGTATAACTCACCACCTGACGCACGGGTGACGGCACCCGGCCCTCAAAAATATACCGGCGCTTGTCGCGGCTTTGTCTAAGCTATGGCCTTGTCGCAGGATGTGTCGGGCTGCTGTGGATACATTTGTAGCTGTCAGAGTGTCAGGGTGTTGAGATAAGCATGGAAAAGGTGGGACCAAATAATAATCACAGTAGAACAAAATGTGCGTACGTGCGATGCTCACCCCAACCAGATTGACATACGTCGTGTCGGGCTGACGCCCCTGTTCTTTCAGTAAGAGCTGCAAGTCCCAAGGTGAAGGTTATTGTCGTTAGTAATATATCAAAGCGATGGAGAAGAATGGCGACGTTAGGCTAGATCATAATTTTCGGGCAAATGTTTATTTGCATTTTGACCACACCAGCCGTCGGGGGATGTGTTGTTTGACTTTGAGACACGGGGTTGCATCAGCGGAGAATTTGATCAGCAGAGGAACTTTTCCCGACCATCACGCGGTTGGGATGCTTGGCATCTGACCAGAGCTGTAGTCATGGTCAGCCGGCTGTGGCCAGTGAATGGACGGGGATGATATGTCCTGCAGCATCTGGCGGTGAACTGACCTATGCCAAATACCGAGAAGCGTACTTGCTGACAGGCTGATTTTTGCTCTCCCCTTTTTCAAAGAACCCCGCGCAGGTTACGTGATTTTGGGGGTGTGGATGAGATGGATACTTCATGGCTGAGAATGCTTTGCGTATAGGTGGGAAGGTTTTTACCATTTTTGCTATTTGACATCATACATCGTTATATTTTCTCTTCTCCGTTGGGTGCCTCCCAATGGCATTGAGTTAGGAGTGAAATCTGGATCGCGGCCGTCTGATATAACTATTTATTGACGTTTTACTCCCGCTTTTTGATGTGTGTTGGGGTCTAATTTGTATTTTATTGACATTGCCATTTCTGATTCTTCGTATAGTTGGTGAGTTCGGCCTCCTCTATAGTTCGTAGTCGAATCTCGTCTGCCTTGTGCTGCCGCGATTGCTCCCGTCTCCGGTCGACCGTCCGCCAGCGACCGAGCTGACAGCAGTCGGAGTCGCCGGTTGGCAGGGCGGGGAGTTCGTTTGGCAGGGGTGCCGCCGCCGCCCCCCTCCTCCCCGTCGGCCCCGCACACCTGACAATGGCCGCGCCTCGGCGGTGGAATGTGGTCGGCCGTCGAAGCCGCCGACAGCCGCCGACTGGCCGACACTGCTGTTACAGCCGCTCACTGAGGGTGTTCACGTGGGGCGGAGGAGGTTCAGTCGCCGGCCGGAACTGCCGGCAGGACGTGCAGTGCAAACTGGACTTGGTACGGACAGCACATTGTGCTGGGATGTATCAATTACAACAGCAAGCAGAGGGCAATGGAGATGGTCTAAGAGCAGTATTCGTTGTTACTGACTTGCAATGTTCTTTTGTATCCCGCGTAGGATCGAAAACCTTCCCAGGGGCTTGAGGAGGTGCTGTTTCACCGCAGTCTGGCGGCATACCGGCCCCAGCCGGCCCCCAGTCGATGTCGCCGTCGGTCGCCAATGGTCCAGGGCCGCGGGGCGTCCGTTCAGGGGGCGGCGGCGGACCCCGGGCGGGGGCGGGGGCGGTCCGTTTGGCAGCCCGGCCGCCCTCGACTCAGCTGACGGCCGCCGCCGATGCCAGCCGAGTCGGTAAATTTAGCCGACGTCGGCTGACACTGGCTGCTCCTGCTGCTGCCCTGTGGCCCTCTCGGACCGGTCGGCAGCGGAGACGGACGTCCCTCGCTCACCCAGGCGACTGGGGACGCTCTGTGACATCTACGGGCTATGCCATTGGGCTCATCAATGTCTAAGTCCGGCTGAATCACGTCTGAAAACTCTAAAGTGCATGACTCCAATTGTCACCAGATCAGGCAGTCATGCCCGCAGCCGTTTTGACCATCTTCTCGGAGGGTCGATATGCCGAGGGAGACTTAACCAGCCTGCTGCCGTACTCCGCATCCGGTGAAGCAGCGTGTTTCGAGTGCCGTGGCCGGGTTAAATTCCTGTCGAGTACCGACCCCTGGGGCGGCGCTGGCTGCCGTGTAGCAGCGCAGAGTACGTCCGGCCCGAGAGTAAACTGTCGCCGCCAATGTTGAGGCGATGTCGGCCAACTGGCGTGCCTTGCGGTTGCGTCCGATGCGGGGTTCCCTTACCGCGATGGTGAGGTTCTTGTAAGCACTGTCCGTGTCCGAAGGCATGGGGCCACCTGTGGAGTTGCGCAGGCATGTGGCAGACACCTGTTGGAGGTTAGCGGCGATGCTTGAATTCCTTTACTGACCACACCGTATTGCCGTGACCCCAACAGGTGCCGATCTGACCCGGGCGTCGTGATCCAACATTTCCTTTCACACGGCGCCTGTGGCAACAGCCGGCCGTTCTGGAGGGTTGCTCGCCAGAAACAATACACTGCGGCCCGCTGAAGCGGCGGAATGTGATGGACTCTTCCTCGGGTCCGGTGGAGGGCCCTCAGAGGACGCCGGGGTTGTTCGGCGCTGTCCCGGCCGGCCGGCACAGGACGCAGAGGTCGCGCTGGCTACTCGCCAGCGAAAACCGTTAACATTCCGTGACTCTTGGTGTCGAAGGACATGGAACAAAATGTGATAGTGGTGTTAAATTGGCACAGGGACTAGTCGGTATGTCAGCCTCAATGTCTGATGATGAGTTAATTGCCATATATTCGAAAAGGAAGGGCATGGATGAAATAATACTATTATCTCATCTATGGGAAGGTCAACAAAAGGGAGAGGATGTTTTTACAGCGGCTTATAAGTCCTCGCTTTTTCCCGCAGTCTTACCTATTTAGACAAGCCCGCATTACCACCTGTATCCACCGTATCCAGCGTGTGATTCATCATTAACCCGAATCTGGCAAAGTGTGATTATCTGGTCGTTGAGCACCCGGCTGCTTAGCGCGCTCCTCATTAGCTGATGATGAAGATAGACACGGTCGCGTCTTCGCTGCTGGTCTCGGGTATTTAAATGATTTCCAAATTAATGCGCCCTTGCATCAGAAACCTGGCACGTCCTCAAGAGATGTCAATATCGAGGTCATCCCGTGGGCGTCGGCGGCTCCTTGACAGACGGGAAGGTGACAGAGGGTGGCAAAGCAGGCCAACACTGATCCTGAAGGAAGATGTGTACGGGAATGCTACTTAACGAACGATTGTTGAATCCCTAGAGACAAGTCAGTTGGAAAAAGTCTACGATAGGGGTTGATCGATACTACTTAATTGGCCTACTCTATCGTAACAGAAAGTAATGTCCCAAAAAGGTGTGATTCGTTCAACTTTACGCTGATTGTCAATCGATCACTAATCCAGCTGCAATACGATTTGTTTCTTTGGAGCATTTTGTGACTAATCGATAAAGATTTTTTGGGAAGTTATCATTAGCCATTAGTTACCGAGGGCCCGGGTAAGGATCAGTACTGGCCGTTTGGTATCGATTTAATTCGATCCGTTTTGTGTTTTACGGGTTTGCTACTTATTGCGATATCAGCCCATTTGCCGATCTTGCCTAGTCTTTTCTTCTTAGCTAGGGGCAAATGGGGCTAATTGTGCTGGTTAAATGGAGTGTGAGCCAGTAGTAGCCTTTATGGGTCAGACGGATGGCAAATAAGCTCAGTCACAGCCCAACCGATTAGACTTCATCGGACCCGTTCGAGTTGGCATGGTGTTTTTGGCCTGTGTCGCAGCTGGTCCAAGGCTGTAATTGCTACCGTCTTCTGCTGTTTGAGCATCGGTTTATTCACGCTTAGAGACCGGTGGTGACGCGAGCTGCTTATGGGAACTGAGACATTCTCATATGTTACAGAGCTAAGTCTGCCATTTGATTTGGTGGATACTTGAGCCCGTCCTCTGTCTGTTTCGTCTTTTCTCGATTCCCTTGGCTGTTGCCATGAGAGACTGTTGTCGGATTACAGGTTGCCTTTCGGCACATATGCGCCTAGTATGGATCAAAACAGTGTAACTAACAAGATCGAGTCTCCAGGCCTATGTCTGATCCACTTTGCCCTTCGTGGAGAGGATGGGTATGCCACTTTTAGGTGTGAGGGTGGGTCTGGTCATCATTCCTGGGTCACACACACTGATGGTCGCGGGGTGCCGGCGGTGACCCGTCGGGTCATCTCAGCCCCGGCCCCGTTCGGCCGTCTGTCCGCTCACCTGATGCCGCCAGGAGGGCGAGTGAGACGAGCACCAGCGCCCCCACGGCCGCCACTGTCGGCCAGCCCACTCGCGCCATCGCCGCCGGCTCACTGACCGCCCCAGCCCAGCGGAGCGAGCGCCCTGCCTGCCCCGACCGACCGACGGCGCGCCCCCCACCTGACGGTGACGTCACCGACCGACGGCCGGCCACGTGACCGCCGGTGACACGGGCCCGGCGCGCGCTATTTCGGCGCGCCGGCCCGCGCCGCCGCCTTTTATGGCGCAGGTGACATATCGGAGCCCGCGGCGCGCGCGCGCGCGGACGGCGCGATGACCGGAGGCGGTGACCGGTGACCCGGCGGCGACAGCGGTCGCTCAATGATGATGGATTGGTGTGTATCAAATGACCAGGTGTGGAGGCGGGAGTACCAACTGCTCGGAGCTGGGTTGTTAGCCGACCCGGCTCCGTCATCGTCGCCATCAACTTTGACGGATGGGGATGGAAATTATTTATTGCCTCTTGATTGACCGCATTTAGATGATTTCTACGTGACGGCTATCTCGATTAAATCGTTTCTTAATCATTTACCCCCATTCAGTATTTTGCAACTGCTTCGACACGACCTTTCAATAGCTTTGCTCTGCTAGTTAGATTGGTTTTCTGTCTTCCTTGGATCGTTTCTTCGGCGCGGTTCCATTTTCCGCTCGCTCGGTTCCATCGGCTCTCTTCCCCGTGTTTCCACCTGGTCTGGTTCCTCTGGTTCCATTGGCTTCAGTGTTTCTGGTTCCGCCGTCCAATCTGACTCACCGCATGGCCCAGAGTCTCGTTGTCTCCCGTTCCATTGTCATCCATCACGCGTCTCGCATGTGGCAGCGCCGGTGTCGCCTGTCGCTCCAGCGCTGGTGATGACAGAGACCGTCTGGTGGGCGGGACGGATCCTGTCGCGCTGACAGGCCATTCCGGTCACCCCGGCCCGGCGTCTCTGTAGTAGATCCAGAACTACCGACATATTTAGCACATCTACATAAGAAACACGCCAGATCCGCAACAGATCACAATTATGGGACTTACATACACTAGCTTCGGAACTACCCCAGATAACAGCTCGTTAACTCTGTACCCGGCGCTTGTTGCAGCATCCATCACAATCAAGCCCAGATGAGAGACCATCTTAAACCGCAGCTGACCGGTCAGAAGTTAAAAACACTAGACTAGATCGGTAACCACCCGATGACCAGTGGACGGGAGTCAGTGGACCTCAATCTCCAACTCAGAGTATGTTCTTGGATCGCATGATGCTACGGCCGTCGCAGTGAAGGGCGTGTGTGTATGTAAGTGGGCCACCGCTGCCCGCCGTCATCACCGCAGCTGTCACCCGGTCGAACCGCGACGCCGCGCTGGCGAACTGCCACACGCCGCTACCAGCGTGGGTACACAGTCGGTAGCGTTTGTCTGACCTACCCCACTGGTCGCTGGCCGCCGGCTCGGCACCGGGTGTCGGCGGGTGACTGCCGGGGCAGGGCGCCGCTGGGGCAGCCCACACACCTAACGTGTTAGCCAATCGTAAAACTTGTGCCAGCACCTGCTTTATTTACAACGAAAAAAAAAAACAAAAAACACGTCCATCTGACTGGTTCGGTGACATTGGACCGGCTTATAGAGCCTAGAGGCTGAGGCCTGAGCGCTGTGATCTAGCAGCTCCACCGGTGAACCGTCAGCTGCGGCAGCTCGGCGGAGCCGGCTCCCGTCCTCGGCCGTTTGAGCTCGCAGCTCGGCGGAGCTGACCGCCGTCCGCTGCTGTCTGAGCTCGCAGCTCGGCGGGGCTGGCTGCCGTCCGCTGCTGGTGGGCTGTGAGGAACATAACAAATGAGTATCCAAAATAGATTTGCTTTAATCTTCCAGACCATCCAGGGAATAAAATACGAGCATATCTGGTCGGATACAAGGCTCAAAGGGGGGCATTAACCTGACCCGGAGATGCCATATTATTCCCGACGTTATGTAAGTGATGGTTCAATAAAGTGTTGTGCAAAAATACCGTTACCTACTGAGTTTGTCTAATATTGGTTCAAGCTCCAGGATTTGGCATATTAGAACGTTATATAACAATGCCCATTATGTAACACGATATGTATTCCATGGCACTACATGTATTCATATCAACATGACTTGGGGCAACCATGAAACTAGGAAAAGCCATTTAGCAAAAGCTTTTGTTACCGATGGGCATACTTTTAATAACCTATCTCAACCGGCCACCACCCTGTCGGCGGTTCCTCCCTTTCCCCTTTCCCCAGCCTAGTAACCGGTCTCCTGTTGACGCCTCGCTCAACTAGACTCCCCCAATTTATGAGCCCGCAGCTCGGCGGGGCTGACTGCCGTCCGCTGCTGTCTGAGCTCGCAGCTCGGCGGGGCTGGCTGCCGTCTGTGCTCGCAGCTCGGCGGGGCTGGCTGACCGCCGTCCGCTGCTGTCTGAGCTCGCAGCTCGGCGGGGCTGGCTGCCGTCTGTGCTCGCAGCTCGGCGGGGCTGACCGCCGTCCCCGGCAGTCGGAGGTGGGCCGCGACCCGTCCCATCCCTCACGGCTTGCGTCAGTTGGCGGAGACTACGGTCCGCCTGCGGCCGTCACCACGCTGTGCGGTCTGCCCGGCCGGGGCCCCCTGGTCATGTGGGACCTAGGCCCGCATGGCTCACGGTCATGTGGGGCTAGTTATGTGGCCACCCACCGGTTGTCAGGTGCCTTTGACTTTGGTACTGGCCGGTTACCAAGTCATCCTCACAATCCATATCGCTCGAATGCACTCTGACGTTGAACAGACTCGAATTCGCCAGCGACCCTGTCCTTCACTTTTTGCCGACCCACAAATAGGACGGTATGCAGCGCGGCTTTTTACGGGACTCGTGGACGGGCGTGCTCGGCGAGGTAAACAAATATCTGCCGTCTCTTGGGCTCTGTGTTTCTGTGTCTGGTGAGTCACCAGCAGCGACTGGGCTATTACGGTCACCGTGATTGTTTCGAGCATGGTTGTATTCCGTCCTTTCCGTTCGCCGTTTTGGTATCTAGTCCACGATTATTATGTTCCGAGATCACTAAATCATTTGATATTTTATTCATGTTTTTGCGCTCCATTATCACTGTTTTGTCTGCCTTAACCAAGTATCAATGCTTTACTGGTTATATCTTGGATGTTTTGCACGTTCATCAAAATACAACTTTCGAGGTAAATCGTTACGCCTCAAGGGAGAGCAGTTTACGTTGTGGCTATCCTCTTCGCTCATCTTCAGGCGGGCGTCACCCGTGCCATGTTCTGTCCGTAGGCCCAGAAGATCGCCGAGCACAACCGCAAGCAGGAGCGGCGCCGCGAGGAGCGCGAGCTGAAACAGAAGCAGGAGCGCATCCGGCGCGCCCGCGAGGAACAGCAGAAGGCCCGCGCGCGCGCCGCCGCCGCTGCCGACGCCGCGGCCGCCGCCGGAGCGGGTCCCGGACGGGCCGGCGGCATGCCCGGAGGGATGCCCGGAGGGATGCCCGGAGGAATGCCGGCCGGCATGTCTGATCTGTTCAGCGACCCGGAGATCGTGGCCGCCATGCAGGTGAGCGATGGCGACTGATGATCGCTGTAGTGAGCGATTTGTTGACGCGTGATTTTGAGAAGACAAGCTGCTTGGCGTTGATGATTCAAAGTTTTACAACGCGCCGTCTTTCTTGGTGCGATCTGTATTCTGTGCTTAGGAAGAATCTCATGATCTTGCCTGTTGCCTTACGACTGAGTAATGATTTCTTTTCAGTTGAGGTTATTGATATTTTGCCAGAAATAAAAATTAGAGCAAATAATGAGAGCAAAGAGGGAGCAAATGGTGACCTAGTTCTTGAGAAAAAAAAAATCACGATCACGGGAATATATTAGTCCTTTTAGTTGTTTGTCTTGTGCAAGTTATTTTGATGCTCGTCACTAACAATGTTATACAAAATTATTAGTTTAATGCTAATTTTCACATTGATGTAATATGTATTACACGAAAACAATATTTGTACCAGGGTATATTGATTTGTACCGTAAACCGGGGTGAGTTGATATGGGGTGGTGAGTTGATATAAATTGCTCGAAAAATGTTAAAATGTGTGCTGCTCATCCATTTGTAAACCAATTTTTAGTTTTATTTTTCTGTGAAGTGAAGCAACCAATAAGTGATGCACATAGCTGAGAAAGGCATGCATGTGGTGCAGTGTCTTCTTAACACATTACTTTTTTCAAAGTCCTTTTTTTCTTCTGATTTTGAAACTAAGGAAAAGTCCCCACCCTACAGCAAAGACGGTGGATATTCATGGAACAACATGCACTGGGAAAGAATCTATCATCAATTTACTGTTGATCCTAGGTAGTTTTGGGTTTCACCTATAACAACGCTTTTTTATAATTTTAAGAAAAGTGACAGGTGGTGAGTTGATATGCCATCAAGTGGTGAGTTGATATGCATGATAAAAGCTGATACCAGGCTGATATGCATGCAAATTAGCATGGAATATGGGTCTGCAAGTAAGACAAAGTCAATTAGACCAACTCTTCTCCTTTTCTCTCCCCACATCATTCCATCAACCCCCAAAAGCTTTAGTTTTTTTTCTGAATGCTTGAGACGAGGCCTGTTAGTATCACTGATGTTAGTTGTCGGACTTTCGTCCCCGTCTTGAGTTGAGATGTTAGTTTCACAACGTTTCAGCAAGTAACTTCTCCGGCCATAGTCAAATCTGCCTCGATAGTGGAGTGGTTAGAACCGGGGACCATCACCGAGGAAACCCGAGTTCGGTTCCCGCTAACTACAGGAGCTTTCGAACGGTTGGACGCGTACCGCGCAACGCCACCAACATCCAGGTCCTTCTGAGGGTCAAAGAACACCTGACGAGTGACAACGGCCGGAGAGTAACTGGCCGAAACGTTTGAAACTAACATCTCAATTCTCAACTCAAGACGGGGACGAAGGTCCGACAACTAACATCAGCGACCCCAAAGTTTTTTTTTCTGTGGACATACCTAACATGCAAAAGCCAAAAGGCACAGCACAACTCCCTGTCAAGTCTCAAGATGGCTCCCTACAAGCTACAAAGGAACACTATAGAACACCTATATACATACAGATTAAAAAAAAAAATGTTATAATTATTCGTGGTTGCGAAAATGACAGAACTGTCGTTTCTGTATGGCTAACAGCGCGGGAATTCTGATCTCGTGAAACTGATTAGTTTTCCTGCTTGGCAGTTGCCAACCGAGAATGAGTGACAAAATGAAATGGAACAAACAATATAAAGAAATTGACTGATGTTTTAGCCCTCGCCCGTATTCGTGTTTTGCCAGCGTTTAACGTATGGGGGGGGGGGGTCCGTTGGAATCCCATCGTCGTTTGGCCCCTGGTGGAGCTAGAGCTTCGAGGAAAAAACGAGCGTGTTGCCCGAGACGCGAGGAAGCCGATGATAACCAACTTTAAGGTCTTAGGTCATTGGTTAACCTTCCAGGCCAGGTCAATTACCCAGAAGTCGAGAAAATAAGGGGTTATTTGAAGTTTGTAAAGCGAGGTTATTATTTTTTTGGCTGTTGCTGATCACGAATGTCATGTTTGTTTTGATCACATGTGTCTTCGTACATTTAGACCAGGTCAGGTCAGGTCAGGTCAACCAGTAGGTGTCCTGCCGGCTATCAATAGGGAGTGTCAAGTGTCAACTACCACTGACGGTGTCGTAACATGTTACGAAGGCACTAAAACTACTTCGTAAATGATCAAATGCATGTTAAATTCGACATCGGCCCGAAAAAAACTACCCTAGAAACATGTAAAACTCCAAAAGTGAGCCGAGGTCACCAAAGGTCAATGACCTGACCTGACCTTCAGGTGACCTTGACAGTTGACACCCACAATACTGCATGGGACCAACATCATTTACATGTTTGGACGTTACAATCACAAAAAGACTGGAAATGCGCGGATAATGTGAGCCGACTACGCCAAATCGCGATTCCGGCCAAGCATGGTCTCGAGAATCAGGTCACAAGTCAAAAACCATTTGAGTCAGGGTCATGAAATCTTTAGAACATGTGTAAAATTGATAAACTCGAGAGGCACTGAAAGTTTCGTCGCGAGCGGCCGCTTTTTGCGCGAGTTATGTGCGAAAAGCCGAGGTGGTCCGTTCGCCCGCCTATAAGTGCGAGGGTTAATTTTGGCTTTTGATGCCGAATTCTGTTTTATGTCGCTTATTTCACCTGATAGAATACAGTCCGAATTAGATTCGCTTCACTTCACTTCATAAATATTTTGTTGACTACCAGTCCACAAAAGCTCAGAAGTATATGTATTCTTTCATTTCACTCCATTATTTCTGTCAGAGGCATATCAACCTTGACCCACAACTGACAATGTGTTTTAATTACAAGAAAATACACTTGTAATTCCAAAATATATTGCCAGTTTTGATACCGTTGGCTTGAGGACACGTGACTAGCCAAGTTCAGAATGTTCTAAGTAAAACTAAGTATCATAAAGCGAAAAAATGATGCTGCTAAAATCAAGCCATTTTGATAGCGCAGTGTTGGACATGATTGCGTTTTCATGAATGTGAGGTCTGCTGCCAAACTACTATCATTTTTCTAATGGTTTCTTTCAGGATGTGTTCTCTCATCCTTTTTTTAAACACTGGCATTTTATCAACTCACCTCTGAGCTTCTTTAGTCGAGAAATTTTGAAAAATCCAAAATCATATCAACTCACCCCCTGGGGGGTGGTGAGTTGATATGAACTTTGGCGTTTTAAAAAAGGGGCTTAATATATACATTTTTTATTCATTTTTGCTGATTGCCTACCCAAGGCATGTGCCATGAAACTGGCACAAAAATAATTCCGTAAATGAATGTGGCTTTTAAAGAAATCTAGAATAACCTCAAAATCCATATCAACTCACCCCGGTTTACGGTACTGCGCCAGTCATGTTAGAAGGCTAACTCAAAGGGTCAATAACCCTAGCAGTGGAAGTATTTCCATCAGCTCCCTCCATTTTGGATATTGTGCGCAACTGGCCAGGTATCCTGCATTCCTTTCCGAGAACAACGTAATTTTTCGTGCACTTTTACTCAAAACAACCGGAAACAACATTTTTCCACGCGTTTTACTTAAATCTTTTATGGCAATGTGATCCAAAAATGGCTGAATCCGTCACAACCTGACCTGACCATGTTCTGCCGCAGGACCCCGAGGTGATGACGGCGTTCGCCGACGTCTCCCAGAACCCAGCCAACATCATGAAGTACCAGGGCAACCCCAAGGTGATGGCGCTCATCACCAAGATGACACAGAAACTGGGCGGTGGCGGCGGTGGTATGCCTGGCTTCCCGGGCGGTATGGGCGGTATGGGTGGTATGGGTGGCCCCGGCGGACCCCCGGGCGGTGCCGGCGGACCCCCGCCCCCGCGACCCCCGCCCGAAATGGATGTCGACTAAACGGCCACTACTCACCGCTCTGCCCCTGTGAGGGCAGAGCCTGCCTCCCCCACCCCCACTGCCGCCTCCCGCCGCCCCCGTCGCCAGCTCTGCTCAACGTGGGCGGCTGTGGCGGCGGGACATGGCGGCCGCCCCCGCCCCCGCCCGGAGAATCGGGTGCCGGCGGCGGCGGCCCGACCCCTCACCGCATCGGTAGCTCACGTCGTGTGGCGGCTTATGGCAGCGTTCACAGGGTCCGTGAACAGCGCTGGAAGACGTTTATTCGTCTCTGGGCAGATCTGGGGGTGGTCTGTGACTGTCATGGGTAGCCTCCGGGCAGTCCGTGGCCGTCGTGTGTTCAGAGCTGGCCGTGCTTGGTAATGTGACTGTCGCGGGCCGTCGGGGGACCGGCCGGTCACTGTGCCAGTACAACGGAGGGTGTCTGGTGACCGCCGGGGCGGCACCGCCCCCGCCCCCGCCCCCGCCATCGGTTCGACAAACAGTATGTGTTGCGTTCTGCTTCAGTTTGGTTCATGTGTAATATGATAACCTGGGTGAGCAAATAACAAAGACCATCCGGCATACTGTGTGTTTGTTGGGAGCAGGATTAGAGCGAAATCAAAGAGGCTTTTCGATCTATTGTTTATTGGCGAACTACTTGTACCAATCGAGTTGCGAACACTGCAGACGCTTCTGCTATTCGATAACAGCATGGTTCGCAACTCGCCAGACGGTATTATCATTCCCACTCGCACAATTATTGCATACATCAGTAGGTAGCATTCATACGCTCTGCCAACCTATACCACAACGCGTTCACGACTTACATACCAATAAATACAATAAGGGTAAACAAACAACATAATTCGCCTCTGAAACTCTGCTTCGATGGAATAAATACTCGAATAACAGACAAATCAACGTCCCGTGGTAACTCCACGGAGACAAACCGTATCCTTCAATAATGCGCCGAGCAAGCCTCAACAACAACCTTAGCATGCTGTTAGCCGAATGCGTTACTTACATATATCTGCTTGACGTAATTTGACGACTCATCTCCTCCCCTCAACATGCTCCATTGACTAACGGTTAACTCACGTCGGTAGTATTTTGTCAGGCTGCAAGCAGAACATTTCGGCATTTCGCGCACAATACGGACACTATTCCGCCTCCTCTGTGAAGGACGGGCACGTTGAGACAGTGGGCCGCACCAGCAGTCCCCGCACCACCTATAAGTCTGTGAGGTGTCGGTATTGCACGCTCTGGCCCTCTGCCGCCGTCAGTCGCGTCACAGTCACAGTCACTTCCCGGCGACGTCAGTCCGTTCGCGTCAGTTCATGAGCGGCTGTCTCGCGTCAGTCCGTGAGTGGCCGTCAGTCGGTCTGTATTGTACGCGACGGGGCCAGCCCGCCGTCACTGGCGGCAGAGTTGGCTGGTGGGTGCCCGAAATGTGTTCACGGAGAATGGACAGACAGACAGACGAAGAGAAGTTGAAACACTGTGGAGTGCGCGTCAGTCGTCGCGTCTGCGGCGCTGCCGGGCCGCGCTCGCCGTCACTGGGGAGTGGCGGCTCGGCGGCGCGGGCGGGCAGGTGTCGCCCCTCCGCTAGGAGCAGTCTGAGGGTGCCGAGCGGCGCTGGCCGGGCAGCCGGCGCCGCTAGAGCCTCATCAGATGCTCCAGGTTACGGTGGAACGGCACCTGCTTGATGCCGGTCGGGGGGACAGCGGGGGGAGATTGGACTTGCAACCAGCCCAGCACGAGCGGGTCGTCACTGGACAGAGGGGGGTCCGGGCCGAGCCGGCCGGCCGGCAGGAAGCGGGCCACCTCTGGCGCCGCGAGCCGGCGCAGCTGGGCGCTCAGCCCGGAGGCGGCGGCGCTGCGCCAGCGCGGGTGCGGCGCCAGCAGAACGCTAGAGCCCAGCAGCCGGTCGGCGGAGAGGCGCGGCGCCGGCTCGGCCCGCTCGTCGTCTGTCAGGTCCGTGTAGTGGGCGGCCGACCGGCGCCGCCGCCGCCGCCGGCCGGGCCGCTCCACCGAGTGGGACCGGCTACGGCGCCAGTGCGGCCGGCGGGCGGCCGGCGGCGGCGGCGTCAGCGCGCGCCGGCCGAACAGGCTGCGCCGGTGGCGGAGCTCGCGCGCCGCGCCCGAGTCCATACTGTCAGTGGACATGGACGGGGGAGCGGCAGCTACAGCAGCGGCGGCAGTGCGGCACACCGGGCAGCGCGAGCACTCGGAGGTGACGCTGCAGCTGCCGGCGCAGCTGCAGATGCAGCTGCTGCCGCTGCTGCCGCTGCCGTACCAGTCTGTGTCAGAGTCGTCAGGGTTGCGTCCTCCCCGCTAGTCGCTACGCGTCTTATACGTGTTCTTCCAGATCTCCACAAGAATGACAGACTGATGGAAGCGGTAGAAGATCATTAGCGGCAGGCTGATGCGAGAGATGATGCCCCAGGCGAGGAATCCGTAGTAGTTGAACTGCATCTCCTGCGAGAGCCAGTGGTGTGACATGAACGTGTCCATCATCCACAGGGTGACGTTTGAGAAGAGGAGGAAGGTGATGACCTGTCGGCCGGGCTTGGCCATCTGCTGCTGCCGGGTGGCGCACTGCCGCCGGCTGGCCTCCGAGACCAGCATCCCCTGGCAGGTGGTCTGCACGATGAGCGTCACGTTTAGTACAAACAGCACCAGGTGACGCGGCTCGTTCAGCTCGATCCCTCCCACGATCAGACCGAAAATACCCAGCAGGTACACGCCGACAATTGTCACCGAGCTGAGCATCGAGTCCAGATGCAGCGGCTTCTTCTTGTGGGTTACCGACAGCTTCGGCACCTGGTAGAACCCAACCAGGGTCATCACAACTGAGAGACTGAGGACCACCAGCTGGGTGCCGGCAGAGAGCCAGAACATCTGGCCCTGGAACTCGGTCGTGTCCTTCATCACGAAGAAGATGATGAGCACCACGATGCCGCCGACCAGGCAGAGCAGACCGAGGAAGAGTCCCTTGGAGGCGGCGCGGCAGTCGGTGCGCCACTGCTTCCGTCGCCGAGAGTCCAGCGTGCTGTCGGAGTCGGCCTTCTTGGTCTCCGCCTGCTTGGAGCGCTCGCGGCCCACCGACTTCCACATGATGTAGGTCACCGCTGCCGCGATCAGGCTGCGGACGGAGCCAGGATCGATCAATGGGAGAGCAAAGAAAACGGGTGCATCATATGAAGTGGCTGGAAGAATTATAAAAAAACGATAAGTGCGAAACCCCTCCCTGTAAGATGTCGCAACCGAAGTTTATAATCCTGACGCTAGATGGCAGCAGTATTGAACGCCTGAAGCTAGACTGTACCGCATTACAATTGGCTGAGTGCTGACTGCTGAAGCCCTCTGTAAGATGCTGTCAGAGGACTTGCTTTCGAAAGCTTGTTCCTGCGTTTTAGAGGCTTCCAGCGCATTAAGACTCACTCAATGATTGGGAAATTTTGCTACCCTCGTGCGGCTAACACGGTGCCTGCTCTAACGTCACCGCTCTACTGACCTGTACTCGACGATGAAGGGGAACAGGTAGGGCATCGACTTGGTCCACATCTGTCCGAGCGTGTTGTTGTTGTAGCACTGGTAGAGCCGCATTACCCGCTGGGCATGCGCAGTTGTGAATGAGAATAGCGAGCCGTTGACGCACGGTGCCGTCACAGACTCGGCACCTGCAACCGAGCGAAATTTAGCGTCAGAAGTGCAAGGTTAACGTCACGAATGCATGGAGGGAAGATCCTGAGCAGAAAACCGGTAACAATAATGCGATAAAAGATATTTGACAACCAACAACACTAGATGGGGTTAAGTGATGGATAGGACGTGTTAAATCATGACCGTGTAGCCTGTAGTTCTCTCACAAATATGCATTACCAGCGTACCTGATGTGAAGGGGTTTCCGTAGTAGAGGACGCCCGAGTCGCGCATGCCAAGATCCAGCGAGCGGTCCACCGGCGACGCCTCCGTGGTGACGTCCACGTCCAGGTAGCCCTCGTAGCCGAGATCCTTCAGACCCGGGAAACCTGAGAACGTTCGTCAGTCGGTGAGAATGTCGCGACAAACTCGGCATCATTTTCCATGGCACGCGGCATGAGGGCTAGACAAACTAAGATGCACTAGAAAGTTGCATCCCCTGGCCTCAAGAGACGCCACGATTAACAATTTCGACACAATGGAACGCTTTGCTCGAAAGCCTGGTTGTGAGCATAACTGCTGTAAAACGCAGAACCAAGCCCGATGACGTACCCTGCAGCCGTAGTGCGCTGGGGCTGGGCGTGCCGCCGTACTGCAGCGGACGGTCCGGCTGGGCGTGCAGGTGCACGAAGTGGACCCACTCGTGAGCCGAGTCCCAAATCACCATCCGGAACCACACGGACAGATTGGTGGCCACCAGGTGGATGAAGCCGAACCGCGCCATCTGACCGAACTTCTCCACAACGACCTGTGGATGGAGGTGGGCAAGGGTTAGTCGGCTATGAAACGTAACGGGTCTGAAGGCTGGACTTCTCGAAGAGAGGAGGTCGGCGGGGTGGCTCGTGGTGGAGGCGCAGGGTAAGAGCACGCTGGGCAGATATGTTGGTTCGGTGGGGCTGGACAGAGACGAGAGGGTCGCAGTGATGCGTTTATACAATACCATCGTATCGCTTGGAGACGAGTGGCCTACCCATTAAAAAAGATCAATACGAAATGACTATCATTCCTGCCCAAGAAAACTACTAGAAAAAACAGCACCTTTTTACCGCATGCAGTTTGATTCGTTTTACGATATACAGTGCCTCGCTTACCTCTGAGTTGACGAAGAGGAAGTGCATCTGCAGGAAGGTGAAGATGGCCTGCAGGATGGGGTGCGCGAACGACAGCTCGCCGCTGCAGGCCGTGTCCGTGGTGGAGCGCATGGCGATCTCCAGACCGTTAAACACCAGCGTGCCGAAACCAAACACTGCCGGAGGAGGAGAGAGGGGGGCACAGGTCAGAGGCGGGTCACAGCGCCGCGGTTTGATGCTTGTATACGCTAGCTGTATTCAAGAGGTAGTAGCTACTCATAGAGGACATCAGCTTGATACTGTGAGGGTGAATGCGCTACCATTAGTTGTCGTCGACAGCGTGTTTCATGAGGCCTGACAACACACACGCACACTTGGCCACGGTGATTACCACTAATCACAACCTTAGCTATCAACGTTTAGACGCACTATGCGCTGTTTTAACTGCCTGGTTTTTTAAAATTACCAAACGTAGGACGTACGCAACCACAAATGATCACTCGGTCTAGTCCCGTCCGTCTTTTTTTCCATTAGCGTCACCGCCCGCTCCACTATCCGTGGATACGAGCCCGTGCAATCACAGATGCCGTCCCGGCGGTTACGGCCCCCGCTCAGGAGCCCGCCCGGGACACACTAAATAATTGTGACGTTACGGCGGGTAACCGCCGGAAACACGCCATTTCCGGCGTCACGGCCGTGTCGGGACGCTGCCTGTGACGCTCTGAGACGGCGCTCTGACGTTAGACAGACGCCGACCAGGTGGATGAACATAGACGTGACGAGGACGAGAGATGAGTTATATCTTTCGGCTCATTGCAGGTTATCTTCAAATATCGCGTACACTGGGGCAGGTCGTTATTCGTGACACGTGCTTTGCTTTCTGGTACAAAACTAAATCTAAAATCAAATGCAGCCATCTACATCAATGCCAGCTTGATTTGTAAGTAAAACGTCATATTTCCCAATACATTCTCAGAAGCCTCGAAGTCTACGGAGTCAAGTAAGGTTAGAGTCAGACCCGGTGATACTGATTAAGTGACAACCGTTTATCACTACATGGCCCAGGCCCGGACCCAGGTACATACGTGGTTTACCCCGAGCATATAGCTCCACCCGACCTCAGGCAGGTGCTCCACCGCCAGCGTGTGCTCCTCCACCTGGCCTCAGGTGTGTGTTTCAACCCGAGCTCCTCCAGCCGACCTCCGGTGTGTGTTTCACCCCGAGTTCCTCCGGCCGACCTCACCCCGTGGACCACCGGCCGTGACCGTCCCGGGCGTCACGACCGAGCGTCACGTCACGTCACTACGCCATCGTCACGAGCTCATCACGGCGCCCTGCCGTCACGCGAAGCCCCGCCCATCCCATCGCTCATGTTCGTCACGGCTCGACACTGCCCTCGGTTCCTGGACCGAGGGCAGTGTCGGTTCCTGGACGGCCCGCCTGGCTTTTTCCGCTCTCTACAGATTATCCAAGCACTCAACTAATGTTCTGTTTGGTTGATACTTAGCTTTTGTGAATGATCTATACTTACAAAGAGCGCCGACTCGTAGGTAAAAGCTGGTGCGCGTCGTCTTGGAGCGTGAGATGTGCGCCCTCTTGAGCGTGCCGAAGCTGGCCAGGCTGGTGATGTCCGGGTCGGCCTGCGTCAGGTCCTGCTTGGAGGACGTCACGCTGGGGATGTTGTCGGCTACCACGGTGATGTAGATGCACAGGATGGCGATGATGCTCCCCACGTAGAGGTACATCATGAACACGCCCTGCAATGTCAATCACGCGAGTCAGGTATACGTCAAGTCCGGCCTTTTCACGCGAGTCAAGGTGCCTTTATTTCACGATCGGTTATCACGAAATAATGTGCGAGCATACAGCCAAAGACAAATTCCAACTGGAAAACGTTTCTAATTTTTTGTCTTAGCAATCTATATGAACAATGGAACGCTTGTAAGTGTCTTAAATTTAACGATTGCCGCGAACACACACGATCATTCGAGCAGACCAAGACCAATGCTATCGCCATCTTTATATCTCACCTGGAATGTCAGCGGCAGGATGGAGTTGTCCATCACCTCTGTGAGGCAGAAGGCGATGGTGAGCAGCACCACCAGCTTGCCGTACATCGACGACAGGACCACCCACATGTGTGTGCTGAAACAGAGGATAACAGCTGAGGTCAGCCACACGGAGCCCTTGGCGACTTCGAGATGTCCAGCGAAGAGGGAATGGATGCGCACTAGTATTCTGATTGACATACATCGCATATTTGGGGGTATTGTGTCGTGTTTGTGGGCATTATAACAATCATTTTTGGATAATTTGCGTCCCTGGCTTCCTCAGGGGGCATCAACACCGATCTTGCGTGCCTTATTTGTCTCTTCCCTCGTCCACTCGTGCTAGTTTTTGCAGCCAGCCATGGGGTCTGAAACAAACTGTTTGTGTCCTGAAAACCTCCAGGAACCACAAGGCCATTGTGTCCGGTGATTTGTCCCACCGGAGTGGCCACGCACCGTTCTGTCCGAGTTACTCATTGTTCTGCCTCTTTAGTGGGTCTCCTCACACCGAAACATAACTGTTATTTTCTGCAAAACCAGCGCTATTGTCCCCACGCTTTGACGCCGTCGCTCCTGCCGTCCGTAGTAACTCCCTGCTGAGAAGGTGGGAGCATGAGTCGTAGGTAGTTCAGCTCGGGTGCCGCCTTGGACGAAGCCAGAGTTGAACAGTCCAGGGCTTCAAGAGAGAGGGAAGGAGTCGCTTGGAAAGAAGTCATCACATTATCCGCTGTTGGTCTCTAGCTAAGCCGACAATTCTCCTTGGTGACGTGCACTGTCGAGCTGCTCGAACACAAGTTTCAGTCCAAGTTATAACTGATATTAGTGTTTCCGCCCAAGGCCCGTCGCTCCGTCCACGGTCCGACGCCACGCTGGCCGGCTGGGTGGGCGTAACTCGGACGGTCCAGTTAACGACCTGACGAAGCGCCAGATGGCCGGCGTTCGGTCGGCCGGCCGATCGTGGACAGCTCGCTCCTATGATGGACGACCAGTGCCGGGGCTTTGCGGGACCGTAGTCAGCTCACGGAATTATCTGTCCAGCCAGTCAGCCGCTGCATCTGCCAGTGGGTCGTGGAACCGACTTCGATTGCAGTTTTCGTACGGTACAATACCGATTACCTACTTCGACTGGCGAATAGTTGCGAGGCGCGTGCAATGTGCAGTCTTCCGAACAATTTAGTCAACTGGAACCGTGTTTCTCTGATCGGATACATCTGTGCCCGTCAGCTGTCCATCACCTGCTCATTGTTCCCTCTCTGTGTGACCGCTGCCCGCGCCGGCAGCGTTGCAGAGAAGTGGGCTACACGCGGCACGGGTCACGGTTCGGTGCCTCTCAGCCCGTTACACACGCGGTGGGGACGGACGGCGAGGGACAGCCAGTCAGAAAGACCCGGTCTTCTGCGGCACTGCGGTCAGCAGATGGGTTGGTTAGATGGCACGTGAGGTCACCGACTGACATCTAGCAGATGAAAGACGAAGTCACTCGACTGACCTCTCCTTTTTCCAAATGCGACGTCGATTTGAAGCACCGGAATGTAGCATCGATGCATGGATAATCGTCTTGTTCTAGGGCTTGTTGTTGTTTTTCACTTCCGCCCCGCTGCATCCGTTAATATCAGCCGAGTCTAACCACGAGTAGTCTATTTCGGTGATTTTCCGCCCCACGGTCTCGAGTCTCGACTGCGCTTCCCTGAACCGTCTGCCGGACCGTCGGGTCTTCAACTCTTCAGTCACCGACCGACGCAGCATTACCGCCACGCTGGGTGTCCGCTAGCCCACCAACAGACCAACGGTCTGCGGCGGCGGCGTGAGGCAACTCAGGCGGCACATGCGCTCAAAGCGCCCCTGGTCACGAGCGCGCTGCTGTGGTGACACTACGGCTAGGACCGTGAGCGTGTGGCATGAGACGACCACCGAGGCCTCATCACGGATCGTGAGTCGGCGGTTAGTCGACCAGGTGATCGTGAGGTGACCTGACCTCAGGTCCGCTAAACGGAAGGTGGCTTGATGTTAGACCTTCTTGGAGGGAAGTGTCCAGACTCTCGGGTCCGAATGGATTGATTCTCTCTAGTCAAGCCGATGAAGTGAAGTGCCGATTAGGACCAAGTGGGACCACGGATGATACCTGATCCCACAAGTCCGGCAACACAGGCAATGTAGACGGACATAAATGTTCGGGGACGCAACCAATGTTTCTTGAAAACGGCACATGAGTATGAGGAAGAAATTTTGTCACTAGGCGCACGCCTTGTGACTTTGTGAAAGATAACACTGTAACTACTGCGACACTTTTTTAGAAAAGTGTTTCACTTTTGAATAATAAACCACAAGCTTTATATCAAATGCGATAAGCTATCATTAACCATTATCAAAAATGTCACTTTAAAGGGACCCTCCCACCTTAACATTAGTTTTGAGTTGAGATAGCCAAGTTTGCGGCCAGGCTCAGAAACCACCATTTATCCTGGTCGCAACCCCCGCAGCTTTATGGTGTTCAAGAAATTTCTTCCCTTTACTTGCAGGGTGGGACCAGCGTGGTCCCTATCTCTAAACCATTACGGGAGTCTGATGACGTCATCAGGCTTTCGAACGTCCGTTAAATGTTTGACTAAAACGTTTTGTAGCACACGGTGGTATATGCTGCTTTGCGCGCAACAAATGCCGCACTTTCAAATAAAGTCGCTAGGAACAGCGGAGATCCCAAAAAGTAAACAATAGTAAAAGTCTAATATCTTGAAAACCGGTGAATATTTTTCGATGAAATTTGGTAGATATTCGTTTTTGCTCTTTCTGAACCGAGCGACATCACTTTCATGCCAATTCATTAACTTTTTTGAAGGTGGGAGGGTCCCTTTAAATAAATGCATTCATGTGCAGGTCAACAAAAAAAGACGCATGGATGCGCATCGATCTATCCGTGACAGAAAAGTGATGATATAGGTCTGTACTTTTGTCTACAAATATCACCACTTCGCCTCCTCCGCTTCGGTACTCACGATTTCTTTGGATAACCGTGGATCACGAGAAGCGTTTCCTTTCGGCCCGATCTCGATCGGGTCGCGGGTCGCTCCACCTCGTGACTTTCACGAACTCCACGCCGTAGATTCACACCACACACCCTCCGACCACGCTCCGTGAATCCGCTCACCGATCACGATCCCGCCAGACCAACACTTCCCTCGAAATCCTTCACATGCAGGAGAGCACCTCACACCCGCCGCTAACCCTGCAGTTGCCGTCGCCGTTCTGATCTGCAACTGAGAGCCGCGCTGGGAGAGAGCTGGGGAGGCGGCAGCTGCGCCCCCGGCCGCTCAGTAGGCTAACCGGCGCGCTCGGGCGCCTGCCGTGACACGCGCCGGGTCGGGCGCCGCCCCGCCTCATCCAGAGGCGGATCTCCCCCGGGGCACGTGTCGCCGGCGGGTGTGAGCTTTCTCCGCCTGCCGGCGGCGGTCTGTGCGTCCGGCCGTGACCAGATGAGCCTCCGGAGGGTGTCAGAGGATCAGCACCCCGCGGGCGGCGGCCGATCGGCACACAAACAGGCTCCGGTAACAGGCCATCAATCCAATGACTGTGTACGTTCATGACGTGACTCGGAACTGGGTCTGTACGAGCGGGCTGATGCTCTCATCGCACGGCATCCTCTCCAGGTCACCGCTCGGCGTCATGAGTGTTACCGAATAAACAGACATGCAACCGGGTGTAGTTGGCAGTTGCATAATCGAGAGTCATCGTAAGAGATGATGTGTCAGGGAGTAACTCGGTCAACGAGGTTCGTCACGGCTTAATAAGACCCGTTCTATACATACAATGCGTATATAATGCGAAGAACGGTCCGCGTTCGAAAAACGAAGTAGCTTCTTCAAACTGCTATTTTGTTATCTTGGATGTTGAAATTTGCGATATACCTACCTAATTACCGTAAATCCACTTTTGTGAAATGATGCATAGTTGGTCGAATTTAAACGGTGACCGCACGCGGTAATCTGAATTACCTTATCTGGTAATCCAGATAAGGCACGATTTCTGCACCCTGCCGTTTACTTCACAAGACTTCACGGTTCTTTCCTCGCTTGATGCTAGCCTGCACCACGAGCCAGTGAGATCCAGTTCACGATCTTTCTCACAATCTCAAAGCTTGGAGTAGCATCGAGATCATCCTTTGACACGCCTGTCAGAGCGCACCAGAAAGAAAGTACCAGCCCATAGTACAACAATGGTCTCACTTTCTCCGCACGTTTTCGGTGGATTGACGCGGACATTTAGGGCGGATCGAACTGTCTGGGGAGGGTCGCCGCTTCTGGCGCTTCAGTTCGACCTCAGCGGGGTCGGTGGCTTCCTAATGTCACGGCGGTCACGGTAGATGCGTTGAGTGGCGCACTGACGGCGTTACTGGCGCACTGACGGCGTAACTGGCGCACCACACGTCGGTCGGTCCTTCGGAGTGGCGCGGCTCACGGGTGACACAGGCTGACGGTAGGTGAGCGCTGGTGTCTCAGTCGAGTTACTCGGACGATTTCTCGATATTTGAGGGAAGTACTGACATGGAAAGACCGGAGGCCTGTGAAATTAATGGTGTGTGGGTGATGTGCGTTTACTCGCGAGTCGCGTCTAGGAAACGCAGTGTGTTTGGGAAATAGCACGTGTCGCTGTGGAACTTCAAAAGTGCATTATGTAAAATAGATGTATTGCGGTAACATATAAACGTTTTTGGGCCTCGTAACCGTAAACCACGCATTGAACGATAGAAGCAACTGAGATGGGAAGCGAGTGCCTAACTCTCAAGGCATCACCCTCAAAACATCATTTTGTCGTTGCAATGAATGATTAATGAAGCCAAAATCGAACTAGGAGATGAGCGTCACGACAAGAATCGCTTAACGTGTTCAACTTAACGTATTTAAATGTAAGTATGTATTCAGCGTTTTGCCGCAATGCCAATTCTGCACTGAAAACAATTTAACCCAAGGCCTGCGAGTAAACCGGTGTTTTGCGGTACCCCTATCCGCAACCATTTTTAACCCTCGCCGGACCTATTGGTTTTCTACATACGCGCCGGCCGAGGGGGGGGGCGGGTACGACCCCCCCTCGCCGTTTCGCCCCTGGTGGAGCTAGCGCGTCGCGGAAAAAACGGGCGTATGCGCCGTTACGAGACGCAGAGATTGGTACCCGATTTTAAGGTCCTAGGTCAACCGGTGACCTCTGAGGTCAGGTCAAGTGCCCCAAGGTACGGTTCAGTTTTTGGTGAATAACTTCGCAAAAAACGGCAGCAGAGCGCCGATTTTGGCAGCATCGTGTTCGTCTCGCTCAGGCGCGTCGAATGACATACTTTTTGTCCGGGTCAGGTCAACTTGGGGTGTTGACCTCAGGTCAAGGTCAGGTCAGCACCCCCAGGTCACGAAGTTGGTCGAAAGAGGTCATGTCGCATATCATTCGATTCGGCAGGTCTTCCTGAGTCCATTGGTGGCTTTCCCGACTCGCTAGCTCAATTTGATCAAGAGTTATTGACGAAAAACTAATATGACCTTGATGACGTCATAAATGACGTCACGCAAGGTCAACATTGCAAAAGTGACGCATCTAACCTTGCAAGGAGTCCATCAAATCACGATTCTGTGTGCTTGAGATAGTTGGAGATCGTTCCCGGCGCCAGAATAGCAGTTTTCATTTTTCCCCATTGACTTATAATGGTGAGGTCACGAAAATGACCTGACCTCATATGACCCTTAGGAAAAATCCGAGATATACAAGTTGTGGGACTCATAATGGATACTAGATCCTGCAAGTTTCATTTCCCTGTGACATCTCCTCTGGCAGTGAGGGCGTTGCGAAGTTGCGACATCTGATGACCGTGCAGAGGTTCACTTATGACGTCATAGGTCAGTGACCTGACCTGACCCAAAAATGCGGTTGGTGTCAAAAGATCCGGCTTGGATCAAAGGTCAGGTGTGCTAAGTTTCAGCTCTCTATCGCCAGCGTGTTCGGAGCTATCGCGAAAAAACCCTATGGGGGGGCGGCACCCGCCCCCCCCCTCGGCCGGCGAGGGTTAACCACCCTCCCAGGAGTACAGTAAGGTCCCATTGCAGTGTAGTCGTCCCTGCTCTCAGCGGACTTGTTCGCTGACAGCGGTTATATCCGCTCAGAGCAAGTACGACTACACCGCAATGGGACCTAGCACTACTCCTGGGAGGGTGGTTAAAAATGGTTGCGGATAGGGGTACTCGTAAAACACCGGTTTACTCGCCAGCCTTGGGTTAAATTGTTTTCAGTGGTGCTCCAACAGCAGCAAACGCTCACGCTACACGCGTCGTGCTAAATGGCCCCCACACGCGTGTTATCGTTCGTCATAATCGTCAAGCCCTGACGCGCTTTACAGCTAGATGCGCATCCGTAGACTCGAGATGCAACGAAGGCCCTTGCAATTTTCTGCTCCGCATCCACCATCGTTTTAACAATGACGCAATGTATGGCTGTCGTCGCTCAAAACTGCTACGTGCCGGAAGCGTGCAATCAAATCTATAATGAAAGCGTGGATGTTGCGAAAAACAGTTGCAAGCCCGCTTTATAAACCACTCACATATGTCAGATTACCTATATGTAGGGACCAATAACGTAATCGTGAGGTTTCAGGAAAATAAACATAGTGAAGCTCGGGTAAATATATCACCGTAGTGTAATAAATAACCATAGTGCAAATGTTTAGCCATAGTGTTATTGATAATAACCATACTGTAAATGTTTCACCATAGTGTTATTTCTTACACTATGGTTTTGCCATGTAAGGACCTGGTGAACCGTAGAAGAGTGGATAATCGCACTCACAAAGCACCCAGATAGACCCCTGGCCATTGCTGTTTCACTCACCATGGCTCGGTCTCCTCCCAGGCGCTGTCGCCGCTCTCAGAGTCCTGGCGCTTCATCGTCTTCTCTTTATCAGTTGAGGCGACGGTATCGTCCGCCTTCAGCTTCTTGTGCTTCTTTTTGGCGTTGGGTCCCTTGGTGAAGCTGGCGGGCGTGGCTAGCGGGCCGAGCGGCGGCGCCGGAGGGGGGTTGGTGGCCGTGCCATGGCTGCTCGACGGCAGGTTTCCGTCCAAGCTGTCCCGGTCCGGGTTGTCGCTGTAGGCTGTAACACAGAGAGGGGGTGGTTAGTCATAACAGTCAGATCGGCAGTGATGGACTATGGAGGATGGAAAGTGGGCTAGTTAACGGGATCCAGCTCTCTCAGGGCTGGTCATAATTCAGTCATTAGGTCAGCGTAGCGATTCAATTAGTGGGTGCCATAAACTGCGGTTTGTTTTATGGACTTCAGTCCAATAAACGGTCAGAGTCGAGTGATAAAAGGATCAGTGCTTTGCCTTTCCACAGCGCCATAAACCCTTGAAAGTCCCCCAGTAACTCATAAACTCTAGTTCATCTCTCGTGTTTGGTTTTCCTCGTTTCCCCGCTGGCGCTTGACTGCCCGCTGACAGCTATAAAATCAAACCTTCTCCTCGCGAAATGTTCAACCACGCTGCTATTTCGGACACCTTCACAGCCACCGGCGGCTAGGCATTGCATGCATTACCGTTCGAACAACGGAACGTCTTTGATGACCGCGGCCCGTCCGCACTATCACGTCTCGGCGGTCGGGTTTGGAACCAATATCAGCGCGTTCCAGCGGTCGGGCTAGAACCCAACACCACCTCGATAGTCTGTCGGTGGCCACGGCCCGGACCGCTACCTCGACCACCAGTGGACTCGACTGTCGGGCTGCGTATACGCGTCAGGTGGTCCCGCGCCGTACCCGCGCCGGACCGCGTCCGGCACTGTGACTCTCACGTCCCAGATCAGCGCGAGCCTCACCGTATCACCGGCACGCGGCGACGCTGTTCGCAGCGGCGGAACGGCTGGTATCCGGACTCTAATGACAGGATGTGTGCCTCAGGCTGGAGCGGTGGGTGGTGGTACTAACGGGCTAGCCGGGTGATGGCACAGTTGTGTGTCATTTATATCGGTTATAGGTGATTGCAGTGTTTATGAAGGGTGTGCTGCTGAAGTGATTTATGACTAATGATGGCGAATGGCGATTGAAGTGACAAATCGCTTTTTCGACGCTTCAACTCCGCTCTTGGCCTGGTGAAAAGCAAAGTTGGATTTGCAGTTAGGTATAGTATGGTTGTAGAATATGTGGGGCTACTGCTGACATATTTATGAGTAATTTACTCACACAAAAGGCACTCATGTAATTCTATCTTATTGGGCTAGGTATAGGACGTAGGTATCCCTGAAAGTTGTCCGTTTTATAGGCCTTGTTTAATTAAGTATTAAGCCAAAAATATCGAACAGTTTAGAATTATTTGTATCATAGACGTTCAAATACCTAGATACCAGTGAAATAAATTCAACAAAATGAGCTTTAACATTCTTATTGAACGTTCTGTTACACGTTTCAAGCCCTCAATCACAGTGCCGGAACGGTAACACAGTACGGCTCACAGGAAGTCAGTTCTGTAAGCTTCATGTTGTCTAATGTCTCTACACATCAGTGAGCAACACAGACAGAGCCCAATTACCTACCTTGGGGCCATGAATATAATTATGTGTGTACTAAATCGTCATACCCTTCCGTTACATTGACTCGAATATTTACTGCATATATTAACATTTTATTATAAAACTAGGTGCCGAGCATTACGCGCAGCGTAATAAATCAATTTTCATTCAAATCGGCCCAGTAGCGGCCGAGTTATGGCCAGAATAAATTTGGCGTCTCCTCCTGGCCGGCGGTGCTCTGTTCCGGTATTCATTGCCAAAGGTCAGTGACCTTCCGGCTCTGATTTCGCCCAGTTTTCGCAGCGAACAATCTGAGCATACGGCGCGTGCTCTCTGCTCGGCGCCGGCCGCGGCCCAAAATGCCGCAAAGATGCGCCCGCCACGTGCAAACCGGCGAGCGCACCCCCACCAAAATTTAATGCGACAAACAGATGCACGCGTCCGACTTAAGTCCAAAATTTCACCCCCGTAGCCCGCACCGTTCCGGAGCAATAGCCCGCCAAGCGTGACTGACGCGTTACATACATACGTACAGACATTTTGATTTTTATATATGTAAACTAGACGGACAGCATTACGCGCAGCGTAATGAATTAATTTTCTTTAAAATCGGCCCAGTAGCGGCCGAGTTATGGCCAGAATAAATTTGGCGTCTCCTCCTGGCCGGCGGTGCTCTGTTCCGGTATTCATTGCCAAAGGTCAACGACCTCCGACTCTGTTTTCCCTCATTTTCGCAGCGAACAATCTGAGCCTAAGGCGCGTGCCGTCTGCTCGGCGCCGGCCGCGGCCCAAAATCCCGCAAAGATGCGCCCGCCACGTGCAAACCGCCGCACGCACCCCCTCGAAAAGTTGATACGACAAACAGATGCACGCGTCCGACTTGCGCCCAAAATTTCACCCCCGTAGCCCGCACCGTTCCGGAGCAATAGCCCGCCAAGTGTGACTGACGCGTTACATACATACATACATACATACATACGTACAGACGTTTTGATTTTTATATATGTAAACTAGAGGGACAGCATTACGCGCAGCGTAATAAACCAAGTTTCATTGCAATCGGCCCAGTAGCGGCTGAGTTATTGCCAGAATAAATTTGGCGTCTCCTCCTGGCCGGCGGTGCTCTGTTCCGGTATTCATTGCCAAAGGTCAGTGACCTTCCGGCTCTGATTTCCCTCAGTTTTGCAGCGAAGAAACTGAGCCTAAGGCGCGTGCCGTCTGCTCGGCGCCGGCCGCGGCCCAAAATGCGGCAAAGATGCGCCCGCCACGTGCACACCGTCGAGCGCACCCCCACCAAAATTTAATACAACAAACAGATGCACGCGTCCGACTTATGTCCAAAATTCCACCCCCGTAGCCCGCAACGTTCCGGAACAATAGCCCGCCAAGCGTGACTGACGCGTTACATACATACATACATACATACGTACAGACGTTTTGATTTTTATATATGTAAATATTGGTGGTGTGCGCTTATCAGCGGTTTCGATGCAATTTCCCTGACCACTCGACTTACATTATCTGTGATAATCCACCTCCTTCAGTATCCTCTGTATGTTCACCTCTGCCACCACTCGACCACCCTCGTCAGTCGTCACCCGCCCGTCGCCACCTCCTCGCCCACTGCCGCCCGGCGCACGAGTACGTCGGCCGCCCGCCCACCGCCGGCCGCCGGCCGCCAGATGGCTGCCGCCCCCGCCCCCGCCCCCGCCCCCGCCGCCGCCGCCGCCACCAACGCCGCGGTCACAGTGCCTCGAGCATGTGACAGATGGCAGAACAATTATAGCGGACAATCGAGGACTGTTGTCGCCTCGAGCAGTTTTGGTAGGCGCTCGGTGCAACGGGCAGGCCAATTATTTCTGCGACGATATGTGCAATTGCGACTGAAGCGACTGATGGTTGCCTGCGCGAGCCCGGCGCAAATCCATTTCTGCAGTTTCCGATTTCATAAAGAGCATTACAAGCCCGGAGCAAAGGCTTTTGTATCGAAAGCTAGGAATCAGGTTAGGATATACCGAAAGAGTGTTGAGTTCAGTTATCAATAGCTAGAAATACGATTCGATCGTACAGTGTTCTTCTATTTTGTATGCCAAAACACTCCAGATGCACCACAGTTCACACACTAAACCGTCGGGTGCGTACCGAGAGCTTGTCTTAACATTAGAACTATAGACTCAGATTGTTATGTTTGCTTCTTGTTACCGCTGTTACGTGGTGTGCTATGCTATCGCATCAGTTTTCAGTACCTACCTTATGCCTAACGATAATTTCATAAGTCACATGCAGTACTGAATGCACCACGTACCTACACTATGATTTACGTGATTTATATAGGTACACGTAGTTCAGATAAAACATTGATCATGCATATCTAGACGTCCCATTAATAGATAGCTTCATTAGAGAGCTACAATGTAGATAAAGAAGCAACCAGGGCAATGGTGATCAAGTTTCGGAGTTTTGGCTCTTGGATGCAACTGGCGTTGAGCTCGCTTGTGCCTTGAACGCACGTACAAGAAGGTAACGTCGTCACAGCATCCCGGGAATGACCATTTGTCCCACCGTTCCAGCAAAGCTTGAGTTCGGTGTAATCTGGTTAGGTATATGATTCTGTACCTTCCATGTTATATGCATGTTCACTGTGTTACCTCATTGCGGAAGGTGGTACGTGATATTAGCCCCTATTCACTGTCCAGGATTGGTATTTTGCAGGTTATGTATCATTTAGGTACAATATAGTTAGTCAATTATCTCGCTTTCCGTATAGTTGGCTGAACACACATTAGCTGAGATTAATCAATTTTGTAGCTCTCACGACAAGCCAAACGTGTTATTTCCAAAGTTAAGCGATTACCTTCAATTAAATCCATTCTTACAGTCCACGGAACATCCTAAGCGGAACAACTGGAGAGTGTCCGTGGGAAAAAGTGCAGCACGTCGGTCACCGTTGTTCTGTCCAGAGTGAGCGAGCACTTCACATGGCCGGAATGGGCCGTTAGCGAGGTTGGCCGTTTGGCGTACGGCACTAACGGCGACTCTCGAATTATCGGTGTGTCCAGTGCGCAGTGCAGGTGGCGCCAGCTGCACCTGGCGCCAACAGCGCCACAGCACCGCGGCGGCCAGCTTCCGAACTAAAGCTTCGGATTTTTGGCACGCAGCTGGGCAGGGGAGCAGGGCCTGCAGGGGTTTGATGTTGGCGCTGAGCTGATGTAAGAGCGCAACGCCGTTTCCCGTTCTGTTTTTATTCGCCAATCAGTCAGCCACCCTCTGAGAAGCAAACGGTGGGTGATTGAAGGTGTTCATCGCTCAATGTCTGAGGACCTCTTTTGAAGGACCGCCCTACCGAAGCTAAGGGTTGTCTTTATAAGCGGTTACCTTGACATGGTACCAACTATAATATGATCTTATGATGCCAGCGGTGATGACTACCTTGACCTATTTCTAATATAGAATTCCTTTTATATAGATATGCCTACTTCTAATAGGTATATAATTCGGTAGTTGTTTCTTGGACTGCACACCATTCCTGCAGTCTTCTAAATTGGCGCATCATTTTCAAGCCCAAAGGCATGCTTTAAGACATTGCGAGGC